AGCTGCTCTGTTTGCACGGTGCAACCCAGCGTTGGGACATTGTCTCATTAAAGCCACGGGCGACTTTTTCACCGCCCTGAATGGGTCTCATACGGCGTGGCTACAACGCGAAGCTCGTCGCAATGAACGAAGGGGAAATCTCTCTCACTCGGACGCCTTTCACAGCCACCCCGAGACCTCCCCGAGGGCACACATCGGACTGTGGTGTTGCAGCGGTTTCTAATACGAGCAACTTAAAATGTTTTCTTCATTAGGCAATTCACGTTTGAAAAAAAATTATATTTTTAAAATACAACAAAACAATTTATAGGAAAGTATTTTTTTATTAGAAAAAATAATTTATCATCTCCAGCTGATTGGAGGTACGGCACCTAGAGGAGATGAATGTCGCCAGCAGAGATATACATTTCAAACTACAGAGCAGCGGCAGCAGCAGCAGAGACGGAGCGAGTTAATTCTAAATCATAATAAAAAAATAAATAACTACTTGGGACGGGAAGCGAGTTTCACAAGCCGGACAAATCATTGTTATAATATTTGTCGCGAAAGCCTACAATTAAACAAATCATTGTTCGATTGCGAACTCGGGAGGGGTTATATCAGGGAGGGATGCGACACAAATCCTTGGTCGTCGGAGGATGTAGCACGTGAACATTGGGAGATTGAATTTAGTGGAGGGCAGTTGGCAGAAGGTAGACAATGGAGGAATGCCATGACTGATAGTTATTAGCACAAATTAGCAGTACATAAATCCAATTATTCGTATTTATTTATCCACAATTGAATTATGTGTATTAAACGCAAAGATTACGTCATTCATAAACTTGTAATTTGGCTTTAGAGCAATGGTGGTACTAAGCATCCTAGCTGTGGTACATAGGTGTCCAGTAGGAATAAACATTTTCAAAGTTGTGTTTTATCAGATATTGAAGGCGTTCATGGATCGACGGGAGTAATATTAAAAGGAAAAGTTGTTAATTAACTCCTGATATGTTTAATACGTTTCAACACTCACTTTCAGAAGGGTCTTTTTTTAGAGTTTTTGGCCAATTATATTTTTGAATTTGCATTGAAGGGAAATCCAGTGCCTGGAGATAATTCACACGTGCTGGGAGAAAACGATTAACGACACTCCGGACAGAACGTCTGAAACGTACACTCTACATCACTTCTTACAAGCGCCGACTCACTGACCTGCAGGGGGATAGTGTCGCATGCAGGCTCCATCTATGCATGATCCTCCAACCCCACCTACAAGTTTTGCTGGTTTAAAGCATGGACACTGCAACACCCATATAGCGAGAGGGACTTCCCTTTCCTCTACCCATTTGCCCAGACCATGGCGTTAGGTCTGACAATGCTGTACCATCACATTCATTGTACAAATACAACCGCAGCCCTTTTGTCAATCTCCTATTGGGAGAGGGCCTCCCCACGCCACGCAGGCCCTGTGGGCTATTTGACCATACTTCACCCCACTGGTCAGTGCGAGTCGTTGAAGGCGATAGCCTGGATGTGGCAACAAACTAGATTCAAATCTAGATGTGGGAACAACAAAGGAGTTTTCCGCACTGCCCTCTGCTGCCAACAACGTAGCCTCGCAGCAGCTCATTTCTTCTTTCATTCATGGTGATTGCCCATCCAGGCACTGTCCATGCTCAATTCTGCTTAGCTCCTGAGATCTGTTGAAATTGAGCACATTCGCAATGATTTGACCCTTGTTTGTCAACAATGTTAGTTGACAAAAAGTTCAGAAAAGCTCAAATTCAAGCAATCGGTGCAAGCGGGTAATGCTCCAAATTTGGCCACAAAGGCTGGCACAGAACTTACAATGTCACTGCAGGATTGTATGCACTCTGTACAGTACTATAAAATACCGCATTGAAAAAAATAATTGAACGCACCACACGTGTATGAGACGTCCACGCATCACATTTGTAGTCCACATTTAAAGTAAACATTGTGCCAGGTTTTTTCCTGATAACCCATGAGGATGTTCATTCCAGAATTATTTTGGTTACTTAATTAAAGCAATTCATCATTTTTCAGAGTATGCACGTGAATCATATTGACTCCACCTGAGGTGGATACTTCGGAAACTCGAGCAGAGCTTATGTTGGCTCCACAAACTGGACGAAAAATCGCACGCTGTGTACTTGGCTTGACCCACTGTGTGGAATTAAAGCATCTGGTCACGTGATTTCTGTGTTTACAGCCAAGTGTGTGAGTTCATCTCTCCCGATTTTACATACAAAAATAGGGAATTGATACAAATACACTATTTAAATTTTTACGAACCTATTTACAGTTTCTTTGGTCAGTTCATGGCTGGATTGTGATCCCCCGTGCTCCATGTTGGTTATGGGAGTTGTTTGGCCGTGGGGTGTCACAGTGGCGAGATGTTAACTCCCTCTCCTGATATGCAGGATGTCGTGGGTTCGATCCCGACCGTTGACGCCTACTGTATATTTGGAGCTTGCATGTCTCTCTCTCCCCGTGGTCGCGTGGATTTTGCTCCAGGCCCTCTGGTTTTTCCCTCCACATTTAGAAACGTGCATTTAGAGTATTTGCCTGCTATACATTTCAACACGATATGCCACTTCGTTGAGCTATTATTTGTGGCCAGGTCGCTTCTGAAAAAGAGCTACATAGCTCAGTGGTCCTTACCTGGTGAAATTAAAATAGTATATAACAAAAAATGTTTCACCACGCTGCTCAGTGCAGTTTGATGAATGGGGAGTGGGGGAGGGATCGGTTCAGATGTTGCTCGCCACAGATGTCAGCTGTGGCCAAAAAGTAAACTCAGGCTGCTGGGCTCATGGACCCAATAATGTTAACCACCGCGGCTCTGTTCCACCCTATAAACTTACGCTATTTGTATAAACTGTCTTTTTTATGAAGACATTTATGAACCCATAAACATATACTTCAATGGGCGCTGGCATGGCACTTGCTCCACAGGATCACAGTTCGAAATGCAGAGGCCGCCCTGGTTATTACCGCAGATGTACGTACCGTGAAAATACTACGCGCCGTCTGCTTCACAGTGGACGTTACAGAGCTTGGGGGCGTCACATGCAAGAGTGGGCCGTCGTTTGTTGGCGTCATGGTCCAAATTTTTCCGAATCTGAAATATTACCCGTAAATTGCTCAAATGGGAATGCACGTAGCAATTATCGCCCTCTACTGCAAAAAAAATTGGCAGGACCTTCTTGAAAAATAATTCAACTCAATGAGGCTTTCTTGCTTAAGCGTAATATCATTAATACTGCATTACAGTAATACCATCGTGATGAACACAATGACCACTATAATTTTAGTTAAACGTTCAACACCGCAGAGTGTGCAAGCAGATGTCGAATGAATTTCGATTTAAAGCTTTCGTGACTGCAAGGATTCATCTTCTTTGGTTCTTTCGGTAAAGTCACGTAGAATGAGAATAAAATAATAAATTGATAAAATAACACAATAAAATTCTCACGACGTTTCAGCCACAACACAAGCGGCCTTCATCAGGTGAAGGGACGAGACTGTCTGGAGCGCCTCGCTCCAGCGCTGTCCTCCAAACAGTCTCGTCCCTTTACCTGATGAAGGCCGCTTGTGTTGTGGCCGAAACGTTGTGATAATTTTATTGTGTTGTTTTATTTTATCAATTTATTATTTTATCCTCATTCTACGTGACTTTACCGAAAGAACCAAAGAAGAGATGTCGAATGCTCAACGAATAACGCGCGACTTTGTCACGCAGCCCGTTCATACTGGAGAGCAACTTTCGTTTGGCATTTCACTTGCGGGGTAATCTATCTTCTGAGAGCTGCCCCAGATAAACCGTGGTACACGACGTTCAACCTTGAAGCCCACATACTTATACTCGGCTGCCAACGGTAAACGCCCTGCAGATGCACCATGAGATAGAGGACAAGTCCGCTCGCGGCTTGACGCACAGGGCAAACCGAGAGGCTTCAAATGGGCCCGCTTATTTTCAGCCGTAATTACACGCCAAAGCACGTCCCGTGAACAAGCGAAGAACAGTCGGTCTATAAATATTGTACCCGACTATCCTCCCTGACGCTAGCATACGACCAAATGTTGAAGAGTAAGCTAAAGTTGTATGGTTCTTCTTTTCTCACAGCAGATGACGGATGTAATTTTCAGCCCGAGTTCCCCAAAGACTGCTGAACGATTACTTAAAATTGTACACGAAGTGAAATATGTATTACCACCCTACTTTGAGCGCAAGGAGAGTATTTATTATTTTTTTTATTTAAAAACTGGACACATTTTTTTGAGCGTTTGCATTTTGGGTTTGGGCCAACATCTGAATTAGTGTTTCATCCACCATATGGCAACGTAGTTGTAACTGCCTGTAACGAGGGGACTCTTCTGTTCGTCCATCACAAGTGTCCACTAGCAGAGCTTGCACACATTAGTGTGCATCTAATGCGGCTACGTTTTTATTGCAATGGTCATAACGTACTAAAACCAGAATAGTAATTTAACTTCACCTGCCATGGTGTGGGCCATCCAACAAGTTCAGAGGACAGGCTCATATTAATACCACCGGCTACTCTAAAGGTACTGCCTTTTTGTCAATTCGCTGTCATTCAGACAGGTGGGAGCCCAAGTCAGCATTATGCCATTACACATCGCCATAAATATGCATCACCATCAATACGGATATTTAAAATACGCAAACCATCATTACATTCCACACCGTCAGCTCTTTATGAATCCGCATTAAATGAATACAACTCTCGTTTTTTTTATTATGTTGTTACCCTGTGCTCCACTTATCTTTCAAAAGCACTGCGTTCATGGCGCACACTATTTGAAACATTTGTACGCCCTAAAAAAAAATGCAACAGGAACACAGCAATATACACTCTGGAGCCATATGCACGTGGTTGTTCATTATTCACAACAACCCAAGAATGCAGGTAGTTTCCACCGGCAAATGAGAGTCGGCACGATGTCCTTTGCGCGCTGCCGTGTCCACCCACCTCGTACCCTGAACGCCTTCCTTGCGTCCCAGTGCCGGCGACGCGAGCGAGACGATTTACGGGCGCAGCTGGGAGCATTCCTGGAGCGCTCTCAACCTCGATTGTAGTAGTAGCATGGGGATTGGCGAGCGAGCGAGCGAACGAACAACGGCACAGCAAAACTTGCCTCTCTATCTCCACGACCACCACTCCCCCAACCACCACGAACCCGCACTTCCTCTGCAGCTCGATCTCCGCTTTCAGTCAAAGCGAGCGTGGCTCCAGCTGCGTGCAGCAAGCACTTGGTTGGTGGTGGTGGGGGGGTAAGCGAGCGAGTGAGCTAGCCGCGGTAATTAAGTTCACTGAAGGCAGATGGAGCCGAGTTGGAATGAGAGCACGGGGAATGGAAGAGCGTGGGAAGAGGAGCAGGCGATCGAGCGAACGCCTATAGAAAATGAGTCACTTGTGAAACAGCCCTGCCAGCCCAACTTTGTCCCGAAGTAAAACAAAACGCACGAACGACCCGAGCCAAGAACGTGTGTGTGTGTGGTGGCGGCGGCGGCGGCGGCTCGAATTAGAACGGTAACGACCGGGCAAGTTGGCCAAAGCGGCGTGGCCAAACGCAGCCAAAAAAAAAACCAAAATCCGTCGTACGCGAGGTGCACTCGAACGACAACCGTCCCCGGTAGCCTTGAGACACTTTCACGGGCAGGGCTGCTGACGGCCGAACGAGCGGAGGGTGCCGGGCCAACCGTTCCGCGGCTCCCCGCTGCTCGTTCGCCAGAGTTTTAGGTGAGCCTTCGCTGGCAGTTGCTCTGTGGCCGTGGCAGTTGAAGTTGCACTTGGAGGAGGGAGGGAGGGAGAGAGGCTATACTCGGCGAGAACTGACATCTATCGGCTCCCCCCCACCACCACCACCACCCCTCCTCGACATTTTTCACTTGGTCTCACAATCCGCCAAAGTGGTGGGCGGTGTTGAGAGTCCACGTGCCGCAACTTAACAGAATGGTGAAAATACATTCATGAAAAACCACGCCACGATTTGAATGTGCGAAAAAAATAAATCACGAGTTAAAATTAGATAAACCCACAGGCGTTTCCTACGTGTCACACAATTGCAAGGTTAAAGAACTGCTCGGCGACTTGTATTTACTGTATTTTGTGTCAAGATATATTAGTAAAATAAAAAACATTCTTTACATTCCAAGAGAAACGTACCTTTCTCAGGGTCCCTCAGCTTGTTGACTTAAAATGTTCAAAACGTTACCTTGCAATCGGATGGCAACGAAATGCCCTGGCGTAGAATGTTACTCTTGAGTCAAGCACATGAAGTAAATGTATAGTGGCAGTGGGGTTTTTACCCCCCCCCCCCCCCTTAGCCCAAAAAAATTCTATCACGTGTCCAGACCTAAAACCAGTTCCTCATCGCAAACACAGATTGACTTGTGATGCCACTTCCTTTCCAAGAGAGAAAGAGGGAGAGGAGAAAAAAAGAGGTCTGTTTATTATTCATCCAAAACGAAGTCTGAACACGTTGCGGCCGTAATGTCGAACATTTTCTGGTGTACACATTTTTTTCGTAAAGCTTAGGTTGCTCGTGAAGAAACGTACCCGTTGAAAAACTAAACTAAATTTTAAACAAAATTTACCCGGTAAGGCTCACTGAGCAATATAGCTCGTTTTCAGAAGCGACCTGGCCACAAATGATAGTTCAAGGAAGTGGCTTATTGTGTGGAAATGTATAGCAGGCAAATACTCTAAACGCACGTTTCTAAATGTGGGAGGAAAAACCGGAGGGCCTGGAGTAAAATCCACGCGACCACGGAGAGGGAGGGAGACACGCAAATTCCAAATATACAGCAGGCGTCAGTGATCGGGATCGAACCCACGATTTCCTGTATACCAGGCGAGGGAATTCAAATCTCGCCACCGCGGTGCCCTATCGTGGCTACTACTTACAGTACACACTTAAACAAATTGCAAATGTAAAAAAATATATCTTAAAATAATCGATTTCTCATCTCGTGATGGTTCGATATTGGCTTGGAAATTTGGAGAAGTTGTACAGGAATGGAACATTTTCCGAAAGGAAATTTAACCCGCCGATGTGTAGCAAATGCACCTTCCACTTGCTCAGTGGTGAACTTTACTGGCAGGTCATGTAACGAGGACACGTGCTTGATATTTGTCCAGTTTTCCAGCCATCACTCTCGGATGAGAAAAAATATAAACTCGTAAAGCCCCTTTGTTAATCCACTGCTGGATGAAAGCCCTTCCAGTGCCGCGTAAGTCATGGGGGGGCGGGGGGGGGGTTATGTGACCGTGCATACTTTCATACTTTCACCACGCCGGTCAGCGTTGGCTGGTGAAGGGGTAGGAGGCGGGATCGGTGCGAATGTCACTCGCCACGAATGTTAAACCACGGGCGGGAAATCGAATTCAGTTAGGCGGGTTCAGTGCGCTCACGCACTGTACCAGAGTATATATTTTAAAAAAAAGTCTATGTGGAAATCTCAAAGTCAGTGGTAAACAAATTTACACGTACATCGTGTAAAATTGCGTATGGATTTTTTTTGGTTTCAGACTGAAAAGTATCATCTGAGTATCAACAAAGCAAGCAATGTCCTACAGAAGACCGATGATCGTCCATGATAAACATGTGTCATCATTGGCTTCCGAACCAGCAACTTTTAAGCCGCCTTCAGTCTCCACCAAAATTTAGCAATTTACTTTCGGATGAGCCAAGAAGGAAAGTCATGACTACCGATAACGGGACGTTTCAGTTCACCTAAAACAAAGCGTTACAAGGGAACGCCACATTTTATTCAATTTGAAATGCATCCAAATGCCGAGTACTTCCAGACTGAAATACCTTTCTTCCAACAGCCAGCAGAAAAATGCATGTTGAAATCCAATAGTGGGGTGTTTAGCGAATGGCATGTTACATTACAGTCCGGTGGAATTAAATTCGTGGCGCGAGCACTGACATTTGCTTATGTAAGTGACCCCTCGCATAAATGCAGGCATTTACATCGACAAAGCTGGGCGAGCGTTTACAACATCTGCTACACCCAGCGAGTCATTGCATCGACCGCGTGGATGCATTTCTGTTTTTCAACAAACTTGCCCTTGTTCAAACGCTGTACCGTAGGCTTGGACATATTTACCGTATTCACGCGTTTCCTGAAAATAACGACGTAGGCCGCGTAACATGTGAACGTTGCACACAAACAACATTGGCGAGGGAGAAAACAAACCCAGTCATTTCTTTTTCGATTTAAAGCTTTCGTGACTGCAGGGATTCATCTTCTTGGTTCTTTCGGTAAAGTCACGTAGAATGGAAATTAAATGATAAAAATAAAACATATTAAGATAAAATTCTCACGACGTTTCGGCCACAACACAAGTAGCCTTCTTCAGGTGAAGGAACAGAACTGTCGGGACGACAGCGCTTCAACAAACACTGCTAAGCTTGGCAGCGTCTTTTAAGCTGGGAGGGAGGAGCAGAGCGCCTTGACAAAGGAGTTTACATAGCAACAGAAGAATTTAGCATTGAAGTAGCTGTGTTAATGTGTTGGATTAACAGGGTGTTAAAGTCAGAAATTAGCATGTAACTGGGAGATTAGCATGATGTTAGTGTGAGGGATTAGCATGTAACTGGTCACGGAAGTAGCTATGTTAAAGTCAGAGTTTACATATCAACAGAAGTCAGAGTTTACATATCAACTATCATACAAGAAGCCATATAGTAAACTGATAAAAAAGCTAAAATATAAACTACATCAATGTTCACGCTTACAGTGCCTTTCAGACAGCATACATAAAAACAAATTTCGTCTCCCCCCTCCTCTTTTCAAAAAATAGATGGACTAGTCCTGGCAAACTGCCATCGTTGCGCGTGACGCAAACGTTATTTTTATATATATAAATAAATAAACATGCCGTTTTCAAAATAAATTTATGCAAACCGACACACCTGATGATGACCGTTTGAGTTATGGTCGAAACGTCGTGAGAATTTTTTATTGTTTTATATATATTTTGTTATTTTGTTGTTTCTCTTCAACGTGACTTTACCGAAAAAACTAAGAATATGAATTACTGCAGTCACGAAAGCTTTAAATCAAAATTTACATCAATGCTATAAATAAACTCAATATACTCTCCAATCAGCTGAGCTACTAACAATAAGTCGTTATACATTACAATTCTATGTCGAAAAAAGTGGCGGTTTCTTTTTTCTTTTCAACGTTAGCACCACGGAAAGCGACGAGCTTTGTTCAGACGGACGAGTCCATCTATGCTCGGAACGGAGGATGGGGGAGAAACAGCGACGATGCGCTGCTCTGTCCTGTGTTGCGTTACAACTATGCTATAAACTAGACTACTATACATTACAATGTTATACCTTCCAATCTAAACTACATTGTATAATATCGTATACACAGCCCAATGTAAGCTCTAACATTATGCATTATATTGATATGTCTCCAACTAAACTTTTTTATACATTACACGACTATACACCGTAATATACACTGCCATAGACAAACCCCACCCTTGAATCATACAATGCGTTACTATACACTACCCTATACTTTAGACTATAAAATATTAGACTTGTAATATTACACTATGTATTATTCTACCAACCCTACTGTATACCACACTGCTGTATAGTCACCATACAATTACGATACTATATATTGACTTATGAATTATGTTAAACATTACACTGTTATACTATTTATTATACAACATGCGATAAACCATACCATTGACCACCGTGTGAAAGGTATTAAGAGGCAGTGCCAGCGAATGGACTGCGGTCTGAAAGTCACCGTAAAATACAATCAATCAGGAACCGAAATGGTTTATAACGTCTTTCCAATGGTTACTAAGCCAGAATCCATCTTCTCAGTTGAAATTGTTTCTGTGTTTGTATATGTGGATGGCCTCATGAACGAATCTCTCATGGTAACCGGATGGCTTGCAGAGAACCTCCGTCTTGGAGAAGTCAATGTCATGTGAGCCCACTGAATTATAACAGTGATCTGCCATGGCTGAGGTGTTCGTCCTACCGTGTTTTAAGTCTGCTTTATGTTCATGGATGCGGTCCGAGATATGTCGTTTGGTTTCTCCAATGTAGCTGCTACCACAGAGACAACTTAGTTTGTAGACGCCCAGGTACTGTATGTCTGGAACCACATCTTTTACAGACGGAACCAGATCACGGATTTTATGTACTGTGTTGAATCGGACCTGGATCTTGTGTTTATTCAGGATTTTGGAGATCTCTTTTGTGACCCCCACAATGTAGGGCAAGGTGATGGCTTTGAATGGCTCCTCAAGAGGATTCTCCTTCATGGTTGGAGTGATAGCTTTGCGGATTGTGTAGTCGGAGTAACCATTCGCCTTGACAGCTTGGTGTACGTGCTTGAGTTCACTGGCAATGTGTTCCTGGTTGGAAATGCATTGGGCTCTATGGTATAGAGTCTTGATGAGGGAATTCTTCTGGGATGGATGGTGGTGGGAATCCGGTTTTAAGTAAGCATCCGTATGGGTAGCTTTCCTGTAGACAGAGTGGCTCATTGAACCATCAGGTCTCTTTTTAATTAGGACATCCAAAAAGGGTAGCTTGCCATCTTTTTCTACTCACATGGTAAATCTGATGGCCGCGTGTATGGAATTGATGTGGTCGAGGAATTGGTCTAGACCAGGCCGGCCATGTGGTCAGATGACAAAAGTGCCATCCACGTACCTCTTCCATAAGGTCGGGCGTAGAGTTGCAGTCTGGATGGCGTCAGTCTCAAATTTCTCCATGAACACGTTGGCTACAACCGGAGATAGGGGGGAGCCCATTGGGGTGCCCTCAGTTTGTTAGCAGTGTTCATTGAAGCGCTGTCGTCCCAACAGTTCTGTTCCTTCAGCTGAAGAAGGCTACTTGTGTTGTGGCCGAAACGTCGTGAGAATTTTATTCTATTATGTTTTATTTTTATTCTTTTATTTCCATTCTACGTGACTTTACCGAAAGAACCAAGAAGATGAATCCCTGCAGTCACGAAAGCTTTAAACCAAAATTTAGCTGCCTCTACGGGGAGGGATTCCACATCACCTTGAGATCCTTCAACAAACTCCGGGATAAGAAGGCTCAGCTAATCGAGTCTCTCACCTTTCTAAAGAGATGCCATGACTCTAAGGTAATACCAATTGCATTTACACTGACCTCTGCTGCTGTAACTTCTTCGCTGCAGACGTAGCAAGATCTGAAATCGCTGCAACCCTCAAAAACGCTAAGATGCCAGCTAACAACATCAGCAAAGATGAGCACTTTGAATTATCTCAATTAAAAATGAGGGATGACATTGTCATCCTCTCAGACGACAAGGGCAATGCCACTGTCATTATGGACAAAATAGAATATAACAACAAAATTCAGGAACTACTCAACGATGGCAGCTATACAAAATTAAGAAGAGACCCCACCAACAACCTCGTTATTAAAACCAACAAAATAATTTCTGATTCAACAGCATTAATTGATCAAACCAAACAGTTCTCGTTGAAACCTTCTGCGGCCAGGCCACCAAGATTATATGGCCTTCCAGAGATACCTAAAGAAGATACACCCCTTCGTCCCATTGTCTCTACTATCAACTCCCCCACCTACAAACTGGCTCGTTTTCTGTCTGAAATCCTGCGGCTTTTCACTGGAAAAACCACCTCTGCGGTACTAAACTCTACTCACCTGGTATCGACAATCAAGGGTATTTCCCTGTCCCCAGACGACCTGCTTTTCAGTTTTGATGTGGTTTCCTTATTCACCAAAGTTCCTGTACCTGACACCATCGCAATCATTGAAGACTTGGTTCATCAAGGACTGCATACTGATGTACCCCCCTGGTGAGACACTGCTTAACCAACACCTGGAATGGAACTTTCTACAAACAAACTGAGGGCACACCAATGGGCTCTCCCCTATCTCCTGTTGTAGCCAACGTTTTCATGGAAAAATTTGAGGCTGACGCCATCCAGACTGCCACTCTACGCCCGACCTTATGGAAGAGGTACGTGGATGACACTTTTGTCATCTGGCCACATGGCCGACCTGCTCTAGACCAATTCCTCGACCACATCAATTCCATACACCCAGCCATCAGATTTACCATGGAAGTAGAAAAAGATGGCAAGCTACCCTTTTTGGATGTCCTAATTAAAAGGAGACCTGATGGTTCAATGAGCCACTCTGTCTACAGGAATGCTACTCATACGGATGCTTACTTAAAACCGGATTCCCACCACCATCCATCCCAGAAGAATTCCCTCATCAAGACTCTATACCATAGAGCCCAATGAATTTCCGACCAGGAACACATTGCCAGTGAACTCAAGCACGTACACCAAGCTCTCAAGGCTAATGGTTACTCCGACTACACAATCCGCAAAGCTATCACTCAAACCTTGAAGAAGGATCCTCTTGAGGAGCCATTCAAAACCATCACCTTACCCTACATTGCGGGGGTCACAAAAAAGATCTCCAAAATCCTGAATAAACACAAGATCCAGGTCCGATTCAACACAGTACATAAAATCCGTGATCTGGTTCCGTCTGTAAAAGATGTGGTTCCAGACATACAGTACCCGGGCGTCTACAAACTAAGTTGCCTCTGTGGTAGCAGCTACATTGGAGAAACCAAACGACATATCTCGGACCGCATCCATGAACATAAAGCAGACTTGAAACACGGTAGGACGAACACCTCAGTCGTGGCAGATCACTGTTATAATTCAGTGGGCTCACATGACATTGACTTCTCCAAGATGGATGTTCCCTGCAAGCCATCCGGCTACCATGAGAGATTCGTTCATGAGGCCATCCACATATACAAACACAGAGACAATTTCAACCGAGAAGCTGGATTCTGGCTTAGTAACCATTGGAAAGATGTTATACACCATTTCGGTTCTTGATTGATTGTATTTTACGGTGACTTTCAGACCGCAGTCCATTCGCTGGCACTGCCTCTTAATACCTTTCATACGACGGTCAATGGTATGGTTTATAGCATGTTGTATAATAATAAATAGTATAACAGTGTAATGTTTAACATAATTCATAAAGCAATATATAGTATTGTAATTGTATTGTGAATATACAGCAGTGTGGTATACAGTAGTGTTGGTAGAATAATACATAGTGTAATATTACAAGTCTAATATTTTATAGTCTAAAGTATAGGGTAGTGAATAGTAACGCATTGTATAATTCAAGGGTGGGGTTTGTCTATGGCAATGTATATTACGGTGTATAGCCGTGTAATGTAGAAAAAAGTTTAGTTGGAGACATATCAATATAATACATGTTAGAGCTTACATTGGGCTGTGTATACGATATTATACAATGTAGTTAAGATTGGGAGGTATAATATTGTAATGTATAGTAGTCTAGTTTATAGTATAGTTGTAATGCAACACAGGACAGAGCAGCGCATCGTGGCTGTTTCTCTCTCTCCCCCCTCCTCCGTTCCGAGCATAGATGGACTTGTCCGTCTGAACAAAGCTCGTCGCTTTCCGTGGTGCTAACGTTGAAAAGAAAAAAGAAACCGCCACTTTTTTCGACGTAGAATTGTAATGTATAACGACTTGTTAGTAGCTCAGCTGATTGGAGGGTATATTGAGTTCATTGATAACATTGATGTAGTTTATATTTTAGTTTTTTTATCAGTTTACTATATGGTATTCATTATATAGTGTAGTGTATACCCAGTTACTTTATGTTAATAGCTCAACTTATTGAAGCATATATTGAGTACATTTATTATATTGATGTAGTTTATACTTAGTGTAATAGTTGGGTAGTTGCAGTTCTTTAGCGTCAATATACTAAATGCCTCTTGATATGTAAACTCTGACTTTAACAAAGCTACTTCCGTGACCAGTTACATGCTAATCCCTCACACTAACATCATGCTAATCTCCCAGTTACATGCTAATTTCTGACTTTAACACCCTGTTAATCCAACACATTAACACAGCTACTTCAATGCTAAATTATTCTGTTGCTATGTAAACTCCTTTGTCAAGGCGCTCTGCTCCTCCCACCCAGCTTAAAAGACGCTGCCAAGCTTAGCAGTGTTCGTTGAAGCGCTGTCGTCCCGACAGTTCTGTTCCTTCACCTGAAGAAGGCTACTTGTGTTGTGGCCGAAACGTCGTGAGAATTTTATTTCATTATGTTTTATTATTTTATTATTTTATTTCCATTCTACGTGACTTTACCGAAAGAACCAAGAAGATAACCCCAGTGGTTTTCAGGGCTTGTGGCGTTGTGACCCACACATCCAAATCTCAGGGGAACCCATCATCCATTCATCTGCATTGCTTTTGCACACGAGGTATTATGTTTTAAATGCAAAGTAAAAAAAAAGAATCCGCATGAATGTGAGAGTTGCCGATGGCAGATCCTATTGTCCTACACAGCTATCCAGAAAGTTCATGCCTATCCACGCGAGTATCAGGAAGTTGCAATTTTCCACCGCTTCCAAGTCAACTTCAATATCCACGAAAACAATGTAGATAATGGTATGATGCTTCCACTTCTCGACGACGACTCCTCTTATCCGTGAAAGGTGCACGACATAACAGCACGAATTTTACGCTTACACGAGGCCACGTCCGGGCGACTCTTATCCGAGGATAAATTACGAATAATAAGTCAAATGTGTCGCCACTTCTTGGTTACTCTGCTTATCCATGATCATTCGCGGACGACTGCATACATTAAGGGCTTTCCAATAAGCCACTTCTGGGTGAATTACTCGGGGATAACCGTAGCTAATCGGATTGATTTGGCAACACTTCCGGCGTCACTATCATCTGAACAAAAAGGTGAATGGGAAGATTTCCGTACAGGGATAATTTGTATTTCTTTGAAGATCCCATTGGTGTTACAATGACACAAGCTGTGTGAGTTATATATATATACACGGGTACTTATATACTCGGTAATCTGTTCGCGGGCGAAAGTTGAACGATGCGTGTTGTCGCAAGAAACGAATGTAAAACCACACTTGGATGTGGTGCCGATTCCTTACGCAGTAATGTGTTTTTCTCCGTGTGCATGGCAACACATTTTGGTTATTCCCGGGACAGGAGGAACACCATCGAACATGCGCCAGATGTTGGCGTTCAAAATTCATTTAAGGCTCGCAACACTTTGCACAAATTTTGGTGGAATGACGCCGACGGATAAATATTGTTGCACTCTCTCGGCAACTACTCCTAGCAACAAGTACACTTTTTTTTAGAGCTGCACGTAAATTTTGACCTGGAAGGAATATAAGCTATTAATTTTACGTCTGTTTTTAAATGCTTAAAAAAACATGCAACCATGTGCATGTATGCAATTTTATTCAACTTAATTTACACATTCTCTACTTGAAAATGTGCGTGACCACTCCAATGAACATATATTGTTTAACCTGCTTGCAAAGCCCTGTCTTAACTAAATGTAACATATAAATATTGGAAAAGACATATGGCTACAATGCCATCTAAATGTAACTGCACCCTCAAGACACTATGCAGTAAGTGTGCTAAATTGATTATGTGGAGGCGGTCAATGCAAGCGACGAACAAAAAATAAATGTTTTGAGCACAGACTTGTAGAGAAGCATGGGTTCGGCAGCACGAATGGCTGGGAGCAGGGAACTCCACTGATTGCATAGAAAGCCTTGGTTGCCGCAGCAGGGAGTGCGTGGAGAATTGAAGTGAAATGAGACGATACGTTGGCAGAAGGAAGTCTGTGAAGGCCTTCTCCAGTGAAAATCGTCACAAGGCTCTTCATATGAGTAACACCAGCAGGCAATGCTGGGGGTTTTTTGTGCCATCAAATGTCGCCATTTACGTTCTTTATTCAGACAGCGTAGCCACACAACAACGAACAACCTAAGACCACAACACCACAGAGCTTCTCCCCGATTCTCCCATCGATTCATGTCTGCCATGAATGTTGCCGCTTGTCTCAATAACTGTAGCAGCGTCATGAAATGAAGCAGTTTATTTGGAACTCTCCCAGCAGACAACGGCCCGCGGGCAGGAGACGTCCCAGAATTACGTTGACCCATTTTTACCCACACACTCGGGGTCCTCCCCATGTTCCCCTGGCACCGTGCTAAACATTTCTGCTGTGTGGCAAACCACGATTTGTAATTCTCAGAGCTGGAATTGAGTCTCTAAATTAATTGGGAACAAGTTGATTGAATGAGGGTGTTGTGTGTGTGTGTGTGTGCAGTCATTGGTGACTGGGTCAAGGGCCATAACCTTTCGATATCCGAAACTCCAGTTTTAAGGGGGGGGCTAATGAAACATGGATTCAAACCCAGAAGTTCAGTGGTGCTGGCTTGGCACTCTGCTCCCACGAGCTATCCGGCCACCTCTCAATGAGAACGACTTTCTAACATAACGTGGAGTAATTCACAAAGCAGCCAGTTCCTGTACAATTACTTTCATGTGAACAAAACACAACACGTAAATAAAAAAGTACTTATTCCTGATAAATTTAAACAAAATATAACAAAAAAAACTTCTACTTTATAGCTAACCGAATTAATTCTACATCTAGCTCGCGCCAATAGCACACGGGTAAAACGGTCACAACAAAAAATGGCCGCACTTTATAAAAAAGCAGCACGTGGCATAGTTCTGCAACGTTAACGAGACCGGTACGCGCGCGGCAGAGCGATGATGGAGCAACTGCCCGAATTTGGAAGCATCTCAAGGTCCGGTCGCTATAAGGCTCTTTTCTCAGTGTCACATTGACCTTCGAGGTACAGTCCGCCTTCCAACCTCACTCTCACCCAGTTTACCATTCTTCTTGAACAGAAGTGCAATGAACGCTGCGCTGTCAAGCGATGGGCCAGTTAACGTGAGAAATGACCGCGGGAGCAATGGAATGGATGTCGCTCGAAAGCTTTCACAAAATTGCAGGCCAACGCATTGAAACGCGGGGAATGCTTGGAATGGAGGGGGGGGGGACAAATTACAATTGTGAGGGGTGGCAGATTCTTTCTTTAACCCACAAACGACACAAAAACAACCAAATTGGCAAGGCATACTAAAAACACAAGACACCAAACGCCCTCGACAATGAAATTCCAACCTGGCTCCACAGGCACATCATTAGAAAGGCTCAGTCAGATCTGCTCTGCCACCAGCGCAGTTTTAAGCCCAACGCCACCGTTGGCGCCGGCGGCAGCGGCGTGTTCACCCCACACGAGGAAACGAAGGACGTTGGCCAAACCCCGGAGCAGCCCGCCGTGGTGGCGACGGGCCCCCACCGGGTGGCCCAGCACGGTCGTCACCCCGGCAGCCACGTACGACAGCTGCATCGCCAACAGGCAGCACACCCACAGCAGGCAGCCGACGTTCACCAGCAGCAGCAGCGCCGGCCACGAGTCGCGGGTCATGGCCAACGTGGCCGCCGCGGCCCAGCGGCCGTAGTCGGGCCGCAGCACGGCGAGGTGGCCGCCGCCGCCGCCAGGGGTTGGCGGAACGACGCGGGCCAGGTACATGATGACGGCGCCCGAGAAGCAGAACTGGCACAGTGCGACGAGGACGAGCAGCAGCACGAAGGCACGGTGGTTGCGTCGCGCGACGCACACCAGCAGGAAGAGGCAGTGGTGGTCCATGCCCTCCATGCAGGCATCGCACAGGCGGCAGTGCTTGGTCCAGGCAGGCTGCACCAGCTGAGGGTACAACAGAAACGCTGTCCTCGAGAACGGAGAATGTGTGTGTATGTGGTTCTCTTGGGGGGCGGAGGGGGGGTTTGTACATCGATTTTATTGGAAAGTCTTGGTTTATACGAGCAACCTGCAAATCCTCTGAACCTTATTAGCCATCCCCCCAGCCAGTCAAACATTTTAAAATAATAAAGTGTGATGCACGTGGCGTAAAAATGTTAATAGGATCTGGGTTTGCAAGACGTCGTTACGTGGTGTTATTTACTAGGCATGTGTAACAATTTTGATTTAAAGCTTTCGTGACTGCAGTGATTCATATTCTTGGTTCTTTCGGTAAAGTCACGTTGAAGGGAAACAATAAAATAATAAAACATATATTAAAAAAACGTCATGAGAATTTTATTGTTTTATATATATATTTCTTATTTTATTGTTTCCCTTCAACGTGCCTTTACTGAAAGAACCAAGAATATGTGTAACAATGTTACCGCGATGCGTAAACCAGGCACTGCGGGGCTACGTTGTGGGAATCAGGCGGCAGTGCAGGAAAATCCATTGTTGTGCTGTGCTACGGTTCACCCGTCCGTGCTTTCCGCCTTCACCAACCTGCACCGGCCATCGTGGTTAGTATGGTGAAATAACCCCCATCGCCCGCATGGTGCAAAAGATGTTCAACATACATGGCGTGGACAGGCCCTCATCCAGCAGCGCGTTGATAACAGGGCTGCACATGCAGATGTAAAAATCCCCCCCACGCACAAACCGCTTCCCCCTCGTGATGCGATGAAGTATCATGATTCTGGGTGGCGACTTAAGTCGAGAATTCCATTCGTTTCCGTAGCGGTGACTGCAGCGTCTCATCAGGAGATCATGTAAACTATTCACATACAACACATATCATTTGATGCACATATCTGGAGAATAAGAAGACGATTTAGATCGACGAACGGATGCATCGTTAACACGACTTGTTGTTTACGATTTTGATGGGCGGGTTGCCTACGGGGGGGGACGAGTTTGATGCAGCGAGCTGGACAGGCGGATGTTACGCGATGTGGGCGCCAGCTGGAAGGTGATGACAAATAAGACGTCGAGAGGAAAGCGGTGGGGATGGGGGGCGACGGAGGAAATGCTATGAATTTCGCGTGGCGGTTGCCTTACAAGATGAACGAGTGAGACGTTGAAGAGAAAGCAACGACATTGAACAACTTGGCACGACGTCTCGCTGCCGCCGGTGATTGCAGCCTGCAGCATCGGGGCGCATCGCAGAGTTAAAGCTCCTTGCGGCTCGAGGCAGCGCCGTTTTGTGTGGTGGGTGGGCGTCAAGATGTGTGCAGTATTCCCTCGTTATTCGTGACGAGGGGATACGTTCTGGAGATGCTCGCGAAATGCTAATTTCTCGGATAATGATATTGACCTACGAAAACCTATCGTTTGAATGAATTACCCAAAATAAATATATAAATACGGTATTAAATACGTGAAAATTATCAATAACACGAATATAAACATGACATTTCACGTGTGAAGAAATTACACCACTGTGTAGAGTTTCGCACAATGGGGGGGGGGGGGGGGGGTTAAATGACCATGGGCAGTGTCATTCGGGATTAAACCAAAGATCCCCCGTACAGCCTTAACAGACCCTAAGTGCCGTTCGTGAGCACCTACGAAGGCCAGGAACGGCACAGAAGTGGTGGTGGGTGGCCAGCACCACCCCACGCCACCGTTGCCTCCCTCGTGGAAATGTTTTTTTTTACACATCACACTGGGTGCTCAATTGAGGCTGAGTCGACCTAGCGGAGGCCCAGTACTGGTTCAGAAAATCGTCACCGGTGTTCACCGTGAGCCAGCCCAGGAATGGAACCCCGGTCTGGCCGGGTTCGTAGTGCTAGGCCTCGGCAAGGTAAGGTAAAAGGTTAAAAACAACGAGCCTACCTTTACCCTACCTTTTACCTTACCACAATACAATCACTCTACCCTACCTTTTACCCTTCAGCAGGTAAGGTAAAAGGTTAAAAGCAACGAGCCTACCTTTACCCTACCTTTTACCCTTACACCATACAAATTACCCGATTACAGGGTAATTACTGGGGTACTACACATGAACAAGGTTTATAACATGTAAATGCTAGGTATAGTGCTTTGTTCATATAGAATACTCTCGATTATTCCAATTTCACACGCTTTCTTTTAACTCACTCTGTCTGTTGTTGTTGTATCCTCAGATATTGTAACTAAATTTTAACCCACTTCCCAATGTGGTATCGACTGCAAACTTGGTATATTTATGTCATACTGATGACAATACTATATTCTATCATTAAAAATATATATATTTTTAAAAAAAATTATGTTATGTTTCGGCTTGGGTCTAATTGTCCACTGTCAACTGACGTTGGCCTGTAATTGGCCACAGTCCCCTTACGTTGTGACAAGCTTCGGGGCCACTTCCTGGGGTCGTGGAGTTCTGCCATTACTAGTAGGGTACATTTCATAAAAGCGTGTTTAAAAAAAATGTTTTTTATATATATTACTTATTAAATGGAGGCCAGACTGCGCCAAGGAGCTTTTAGCGGTAAACAAGGCACCGTATTTACCGGGTAATACTTCACGCTACCTTTACCCTACCGGGTAATTCTTCCGAGCTACCTTTACCCTACTACCCATTACCTTACCCCTTGGCATGTCGGCACCTTTACCCTTTTACCCGGTAAAAAGGGTAAATCACCTTGCCGAGGCCTACGTAGTGCGTCGCAAGCTCACCGCTCCACCGCTACTCCTCCCCAGTCGCCGCCACCTCGTGGCCAGAATATTTATTGCACCACGGGCGGCCACTCGCCCCACGGCTTTTTTTTTTACTTTATGCAGCAGCAGCAACGGCAGTTGCGCAACGAGGTCACCGTGTCGTGTTTTTTTCAACAGCTTTCGCCACGGCCTGTGAGGCAATTGTGGAAAAACGAGCGCTTTCCAAACATATGGCCTTACCCACAGTGCCGGATTAAGCTAGCGCGGGGCCTGTAGCATATGTTATACAGGGGCCCTAAATAAATAAAAACCACAAATATTAAAATAAATTTTTAACTTGCAAAGTTAAGTAATTGTATTTTTTTTCATTTGCTATACAGCCAGAAAATACGACAAATCGCTAACCTTAAACACCCAGTCGTTCATAAAAGTTGAAGACGGTATAGTACTATAGTAATAGAGCAAGTGCAGAATCACTGAACCGGAATTGATAGCTTGAAAGCGTTTAGCGCGAGGCCCTTAAAAGTGCGGGGCCCGTAGCATATGCAGCTACTTTTGTTACTAGGAAAAAAATGACTCTGCAATAGCAGCGTATGAATGCCCCTTTTTGTCTTTTTGTTTACCCGGTAGAGCCTCACTCAAGACTTGTCTAAAGAGCGCTTTTCAGGTGAATTCTGTCCAGCAATTTCCATGGATGGGTACTTGTTGACAAAAAAAATCTGGAATATTGATAGATCACACAGCGTTGCATAATCACAGAAATGTGTATAACGCATCCTTGCTGAGAGAGAGTTAAAAAAATAACCGCGATAGCCAGGCAATAAATTATCCTTATGGCAGTACCCCGGGGTACCAACTAATACAAAATGGCAGAGGCAATTAAATATGTTATTTCTGGGACACTTTTTCTTCCAGGGGTGTTACTTCACTCTGCAACTGGGGTACCAATCAATCTGAAATCAGTGCCACACTCCGCGATGTCGAAACGCGACGAGGACGATTATGCCGAAACCCTGAACGCTCGCAAGCACCGTAGTGGTGGTGCATCATCGTGCACAGCTCGTCGAGATGAGTCGATTGCCGCATCGCCGACCATCAACAGACTAAAAATGACTGCGTCACAGACATCACGGACATTATGGTACCCCGGGGCACCACCATGAGGTTCGTATAACGGACGATTACAGTGCGGGAGGTCCAATTTTTTTTGAATGGCAACGTACAGCAACTCATAACATCTGCACACAAGACCAGTAATTGGCAACTTGAAAATAGCAGCGTCCTACACCAACGCTCGCCAGACGAGTCCCTCAAACTACCCCCACCCCGACCTCCCCGAAGGACTCGCAGGCGGATATGAAAAAAAATCGTGCTCCCCTTTGCGAGCAATAACTTGCGTATTATTAAATGCATCCGCCGAAGCTGACTGTTGGCGCCGCAGTGGCGAGATGTTTACTACCTCGCCTGGTATACAGGAGTGTGTGGGTTCGATCCCAATCCTGACGCCTGCTGCTGTATATTTGGAGTTTGCGTGTTCTCCATGTTGTTGCGTGGATTTTTCTCCGGGTTATCTGGTTTTTCACTCCACATTTAGAATCAACGTGCGTATTTGGCTGCTATAAATGTCCACGTGATAATAAGACACTTCGTTGAGCTATCATTTGTGGCCAGGTCGCTTCTGAAAAAGAGCTAAAACGCTCAGTGGGCCTTACTTGGTAAAAAAAAGTTTAGTTCATCGTCGTTTCCCCAGAGCTTCTATCTGCAATTCTCCCCTTGCGAGGCACGTGGCAACTGTCCGTGCACGGCATCGAACTCGTTTTTTATTAATGTTTTAGGCAGAGAGGGGGGGAACCAACACAATTAATTTACTTTTTGAAAACTGTAAATTAAAGAAAAAAAGCCAGCCCAGTGATCAAGTTCACATACTTTCACTGGATATATTATATACAGCCCGAGGCATGCTTCCAAATTCATTGCCTTATTATTCCTGCACTGGGCAGTATTACCAGCACTCGATATCTCACATAGGCAGCTGCTGTCGCTTGTTTAACAACTCTATGTTGCAGACGTCAGATAATCCAATTCGTCTTCTGGAGGCTGCCTCTGTGCAGGACAACATTACACATTTACCTTTGCTCACAACCAAATGTACGAGTACCTGATAAAGCAATCACTTGCGATATATGCTTAAGGTCAATCGTAAGGCAACTGCTTCTTTTGGTATTGATGAGCATAGAGGGGCCCCATGGGTACGCATATTCAGAGGCCGGAATGGCATGCTTTAAAAGAGCAGCTCATATGTACACTGTAGTAGAAGATGAAATGCACGCGACAAACCGAGCTATTTCCCGCTCAAATTCACGTCGAGGCGATGCTCATTCCCTTGTTTACAGCCCTGAGCCAGTGGTCGGAATTCCGCACGCTGCTGTGCTGATGATCCCTAATACAGGTGAAATGAGAACATGAGCTGTGGGGGGCGATAACCCCACTGGCAAAGAGATGTTTATGACCCTGGAAGTAAAAACGACTTGTTCTCGCAAGATCACTTACCGACGCAGCATTTGCAATCGGCTCTGGAATCCCGTGATCTCTTGTGGGCCCTTATTGCTTCAGCATGTGGTATCAATTTGACTTCTGTCTTCGCGGCCCGTCTCCCAAAAAAAATCCCTTATGTGCTGATGCTATAATTTCAGACGCGGAAAAGCACTTTGAGCCACACACACCGGCAAGAGGTAATGATTTCTCTTCGTGCCGATTCAACTCGTGCCCAGCGGCGGTGTGTTGCACCGTCATGGATTGGGGGGGACACAATTCGATTTAGGGATGATTTAAAAAATATATATATTTTGCGTCTCATTTGTGAAAGTTTAATTCAGATTAATTGTAACATTTGTATGTGCAGTAATTAGCAGCTATTGTAAACTATAAACTTTCGCACAAATTATTAGGTGTCTGTATCGTGAGTGAATAATCAATTTTAATCGACGTGTCTTTGCCACGACTACGTGCCAAGTCAATGAGAGATTTTTCTTTGAAGAGTCACCATCCCACGTGGGCCTTATTCCCTGAGCATGTGGTGTCGATTTGACTTCGGTCTTCGCCGCCCATCTCCAATCATCCCTTGTGGTGATGCTATCATTTCAGGCGCAGCAAAGCATATGAACAACAAACACAGACAAGAACATAATTCCTACCTCCACTGATTCGATGAGCTACCACAACTCGGGCTCATGATTCAAGGGATGATGTTTTTGCAATCACGTTTGTATTGTTCATCACTTTTGTTCTATTTTACTATTTTTTTAAACTTTAGTCAACAGTTGATTCTTTCTATGCACTCTTCTCATTAGCATCGTGAGCTTCACATTCAAATTAAATGAGGTGGCCGGGTGGCTCAGAGGTGAGAGCGCTGAGCTGGCATTGCTGAGACCCGGGGTTTGAATTCAGGCGCAGCCACCTGGGGTTTCGAAGGTAATACTCTCTCCTGCTATACAGGAGGTCGTGGGGGTTTGATGCCCACCCTGATGCCTGTATGTTTGGAGTTTGCGTGTCTCTCTCTCTCCCTCTGGTGGCGTGGATTTATTTTCCTTCAGTTCCTCCGGTTTTTCCCTCCACATTTAGAAACGTGCGCTAAGATGATTTGGCTGCTATACATTTACACGTGATAAGCCACTTCGTTGAGCTATCATTTGTGGCCAGGTCGCCTCTGAAAAAGAGCTAATAGCTTAGTGGGCTTTACCCAGTAAAATAGAAAGTTAGTTTTAGTTTAGTTACTGCACAATAAGTGACTATATAAACCATCAAATCGCATTTGGTTCTGTACTTAATTTGTATACAATTCCAGCTCTGCGAATGAAAATGATTAGTTTGGCTCATATGCCGATTGTTGTTCTCATATAACAGGGCGGGTGGGATAAAGTGCTGCCCCGACATCAGTTGATGTGATCTCGAAGATATCTCTGTGCTTCTTGCTACCGTAGGCCGTTCTACAACAAGAAGACTTGGGCTGTTCTGCGACGAATCCAAATGGATTCTTCGCCTTATAACATCATGCTGACGGCACAAATGGGACAAAATCAGGCAAAAAGTAAAAAAAAACAATAAAGGTACGATTTTAAATCTACAAAACGATGCATCGTCATGCACCTACTTGATATCCCAATAAATCCAAACCAACACGGCCTGGGCTCTCGATGGCCGCACTCGCCTCACAGCTGATGCAGAAGCGCTCCGTGGGTTCGCCGGCGGCCAGCAGCTCATGCACGGATGACAGGCCGGAGCCGGGCGGGCCACACTGCGGCCGCAGCCGGCCCGGGTCCCTCAGCAGCACAGAGCACATGGCCAGCACGAGCAGCGTTGTAATCACCACGGAGCTCACCAGCAGCGCAGGGGCCGGCCACAGAACTGGCACGGGGTCAGTCAAGGAAGTTCGCAAAACGAGACTCGTACACCGTTCCCGCCGAAACATCAAAGCCGAAACAGCGCGAGGCCCTCGAGGCACAGGTGGTTTTCCACTGGCTATTTTCCATGCCCAGCCATAATCCATGGTTTTTAAAGAAAAAAAAAACCCAGATGAATTTGGCTTGGAGGCCAGGCCGGGCCAGGAGGGTGGGGCAATCCACTCGGTCATTGGGCGCGACGTGAGTGGCGTGGCTTGGCTCCTGCAGTGGAAAAACAAACTGGCGCGTCGGCACAACCCCGGCGTGGCTAAGTTCTACTTTCTATTGGAAAACTAATTTCCTGAGAACTGCTTTTTGTGTTTCGTTTGTTGTCCTTCCCCCGCACCTCCAATTAGCATGGTTGGCTACGTACGGTGCGAAAGAAGTTCAACATACATACGGACGGGACCTAGCAAAATAGACAACATGGCGATATGATAAGAGTGCTTCAAACTGTCAGTGCCATTATCGTATTTCCTGCATTCTGAGCCAATGCAAACACTATCTATTTCATCACTGTTTGAAGTTAATTATTAAGTGACGGACACACATTGCTCTACGTAATTATACTAGAACAGTGTCAATCGCAGCCAAGGATACTGGGCAGTAGTTTGTAGTAAAAGCAGAACAAGGAGTGGACGATCCCAGCGATGAAGATTCCAAAGTAGATGGGATTCTGCCACCTGTGAATTGAGTGCACACAAGGCAGCGATTGAGCAGCAGAGCCCAGTGGACAAACATAAACACAGCAACTTGAATAACATCCACGCATAAAACACACGCAACAATGTCACCATATACATATTCACGAGGCTTGATATAATTATTCAATTAAAAGTATTTCTTAGACCAAAGATGTATGTAACTGGGGCTATCAATTATTTACGATTTCCGCAAATTCTATGCTTATAGTTACACCTCATAGTTAACATTAATGTCACAAAGATATAGCTCCGTTGCTACAGCAGCAGCGCTCCAAATTTGAAGACGTTAATGTTAAGACCAGGGAGCATTCGTTCATGGTGAGACTTCCAGGATTACTAAGATGAATGCCACTGGCTGGCAATTAAATTCAAAATGCAACACATTCATCAGCCGTTATTTGTGCCTATTTACCACTGCCAAAACAGATTTTGTTCAGCGATACCAGCTCAACATTGCCACAAATGAACCACAATACCTTATTGATCTCGCCAAGGAGCATAAACCATCACGCAAACTCCGGTCATCCTCGCAGCGGCTTTTGGCTAGCCATGGAACAAAGACAAGTAACCGCATCATGCGCATTCAGATGCGCTTCTGCAGCTGTCTGGAATGCTCTTCCTCCCAATCTTAGAAAGCCACTGGAACTATGCACTTTTCAATCCCGATTGAAAACTAATTTCTTTAGAACTGATTTTCGTGTTTAGATTATTGTCCGGCGCGAAAGATGTTCAACAAACAGCACACACATTGGCATCTTAAGCTCAGAAATGCGATGGGAGGTGAACAGCGCCCACTTGAGCGTGGGGACACTGGGTTGGCCCGCAGGCAGAACCAGAAGCAGGACACAGAACGGCACCTGCTGATGTGCCAGATGCGGTGAGTTTGGCCGAGGACGGTGCGAGTTAGCGCGATGAACAGCGCCATGATCAGGTATCCGCTGTAGGCGGGCACCAGGCTTGACAGGGCCAGCCCGGCCGCGGCCCCAACGCCCGGCAGGAACATCAGCCCGTAGTAAATCCCTGGAAATGCACGGCAAGCAGACACCAATGAGATGTGACAGTGAGGGGGGGGGGGGGACGTTTAGAAGCATTCTGTGGTTTGGATGCAATGATTCCGAACAGCTACCAGTTCCAGACGTGGTGCAACAATTTCCAGACAAAATAAAATTTACTCGATCAAACATACAAATTAGCAACAAAAAAGCCGACACAAATATAAAAAATAAAATGTTTAAATAAACAAATGAAATCAGTAACAGCAAATACATGTATTAAAAACAACGGCTTCTGAACTTGATGAGTGCTAATTACAGATTTGTGTATTTTTGTACAAGTTGCGGACATGACTGAAATGGGTGTTTTTTGGTTGGGTAGGTTTGGTGGGTGGGGAGATTAACCTGGCATCTGGCACGCAGAAGGAACTGGAGTGGTAACACAACGTGTTTGGAAGCTCATACTTTTGTAACCTGGCTTGTGACTGGTTCATTGAGCAAGAGGATTTGCAGTAATTAACTATTTGTCCCGTGCTAGCCGATTCATGCAACGTACTTCAAATTGTTACAGCCGCCAATCAAGTACGGGCAAGCGAGTGTGTAGGATGCCCGCCGTGGTGGCGATGGAGATTTGTTTATGTGCAGGAGTGAGAAGGATTGTGGCATCGCAGGATGGCGAGGAATGCCAATGGCATGGGCAGGCCTTCATCCAGCAGTGGACAGACTGTGGCTGACTATGAGGATGATGATGGCTCTCCAATTCACACATACTATCTAAACCACCCCCCACTCACTCTCACCCTTCTCATATTCACAAACATGTACATCTATAAAATACATCTCTACAAACACGGTTCAATTAATCTAACAGCTGCGGTTCGCTGTTTGCAACTGGGACGTTTGGTTGTGCAGCAGTCCGTGCTGTGCGCAATGATAGGAATTTGATAGTACCCCGTGATGAAGATGTAAAATGCCAAAGGCTGACATTTACAACAAAAAAGCCCAACGAGCGGGAATATATACAACGGGAATATTGTAACGGTGGGAATGTATGCAAGTTTGCATTCATTTGCCAGCATATGGGTTGCGTTAAGACGTGCATTGTACAAGCAAATGAAAACAAACTGAATGGGCAGTTCATTACACCACTTGCGTAAACATTCACATGTCCTCCACTTTTAAACTGTTCCGGCAGTGACTCGGTAAACAGTGTACAGTGCATTTCCTGTCTAACTACCGTCTTGGCAACGCTGCAGAAGAGTGGTCAAAGGTGATAAAGTTATCTTTCCAATAAATTAATTGTTTTAAGTTTCTCCCAAAGAGGCACGTTTATTGCTTGGCAACAGTGTGGCAGTAAAATGTAAAACGTGAGCACAATCATAATTTTTTTTACAAGTTTCAGGAATTCATATTCTTGGGTCTTTTGGTAAAATCACGTTGATAGGTTCAAAAAATAACAAATTTTTATTTTCTTTGAACTTATCTACGTGACTTTACCGAAAGTCCCAAGAATATGCATACCTGCAGTCACGAAAGCGTTAAGTCAAGATTTAAGTGCAGGTTCCGTAGCCATGAAATAGAAGAGTCAATTTGGACTCTAGTTGGATAAAAGCAGCGGTCACTACTTTTGTCAGTCGCTCGCAGCTTCGTTGATGACAGTGTGAGAGGCGCAGCGTCATCGCCAAGCCTTGCAAATATTTCAACGTCTTTGTAAATAAGTGGGGAAACGCAGGGTGGTGGTAAGGGTGCACGCCTGCAATCTAGCACAGGCAAGGGCTGGTGAATCACACAAATGATGTTAAACCCCCTTCAGGTCGGAATCAAGGTTGTACATCGCTGGCCTTGCCAGGATAATGCAAACGTGGACTCCACCTGCCATCTGTATGGGATAGAGTGTTGTTACCTCGCATGCGAGAATTTTTCCGAGTGTATTGATTTCCCACCACATGTAAACATTAATTAATTAGTGTCGAGAACACCTTAATATAAAGAGGACTGCAGAACTTGGGAGGGGGGGGGATTTTGCCTTGGCTCACTGCCTGGCTGCCTTTATGCTCCGAGTGCATCGTACACCTCTCTGTATTCCGATGCTGGTATACATTTAGAGTCCCTTTCAGGCAGTTCATACCTGGATGAGGACCTCATCACACTGTGTGAGTCCTGGGGGTTAGCTTGACCATACCTCACGACACTAATCAGTGCAAGGTTGGTGAAAACACGGAGCACGGCTGATTGACAGCAACGCAGAAGGTACCACGGATTTGGCTACACTGCCCTCTGCTGTCCACCACGAAACCCTGCGGCCCATAACAAACCTGCAGTGCATGGTGGTCACCCACCATCTGAGCACTTTCCAGGCTGAAGCCTGACCAGATCGGGTGCATTGCAGGTGATTTGGTCACCGGCTGTGATGTTGGTACAAGCACCAGAGTTTCCAGTGCCGGCATAACGTTCAAAATTGGCAAAAAAATAAAACCGTCACTGCAGCAACCAGATTCTTCACCATCTTGTAAATAATCTGCCTCCACTTTAATAGAGCAACCTTGCATAAAGGAGATTTAACACGCAATCATAAATATTGCCGTGAATAGCATGGCGTTTATGGCCTCCATACAACAGGTTGTAAAATACAGGCACAGTTCAATGGCAGGCGGAACTGCCAATTTATGCACACAAATAAAAAAAAAGGTTACGGGTTTTTTTTATTTGTTTTATTATCAAGGGGAACAAGGAGATGGTGTAATGGTTTGTCCACTGGACCTTCAAATCCGGAGGTTGCCAATTACCCGCACCTCCAATTAGCACGGAAGGCTACGTACGGTGCAAAAGATGTTCAACATGCGTACACATATCTCCCCTGCATGGCATTCGAATCAATGAGCACATTCCTAAAATTCCCCGCTTCTGTCTACCCATAAGTATATATGTGTTTATGCATAACTGCCGGTTGGACAAGATACTATTCATGCACCATCAGCAAGCTGTGTGTGGTGGGGTAAAGTGTGGGTATTCTCACCTCTTGCAAGACATCTGGCCAATACTGGAAGAATAGGCCAACTACCCTCCACAGTGGTTATTTAGATCTTCCTCTATAGTGGAAGCCTTCCATCACAGTGGCATGAGCAAGCAATTGCAGGACTGTAACTTCACCTTTTACCAGAAGACAGTGGATTGTATCGCCAAAAATAATCATTAATGGAGGCTGTACAAAATAAAAAAAAACATTGACTTCATTATAAGCTAGTCTAGGCTAGTCTAAACTATTTCAAGGGAACCTTGTGTATGTGCCCTTGTCTGTATTGTTAACAGTTTAGTATTACAGCGTTTACTATGATGGACTTTAATGGATTTTAAATGTACGTTTTGTGAAGTGGCATGTACAGGTTAACTGACCAAGAGGCTGAAGGGATTTTCCGTTGTACGATCTCCTCTCCAGATTTTCCAGAATCTCAGACAGGTGATTGTGCCTTAAGGGAAAAAAAACATTAGCAAGATAGAACAACCATATTAACGGACAGTGCAAAAGAGAGGAGAAATACACAGATTAGGGAATTTGTGCAGGTTAATGACATCATTAAAACCGTGAAGAAAGTCAGCTGGCTTGGGCTGGATGCGTCATTCGAGGGGCCAATGGCCGATGGTCAAGCACAAAGATGGAGCGGCAGCCGTGGAACGGAACAAGTCTGAGAGGAAGTCCATAGAGAAGATGGAGCGGACAAATGAGGTCACGTGCTGCTACTCGGTAAATTATTGCATTTCAAGATCACGAGAGGGAGATACGCCGGTGACTCGGGGAGGCCTTCATCCAGCAGTGGATTGATCGTGGCTGCCGCTGATAACATAACAAAACAAATACGTATGTCATAGCAATGAGTAGTCCTTTCGCGTATGTGTACACGCAGGCATGTACACAAGAGTAAAGTGATGGCCCTTTAAACACCTTCAACAATTCCAACAAAGCGTTCCACATCGCACGGCATGGCGAGTGTGTGTGCTCAGCTGGCGAGGAGTGAGAAATAAGACGAAGCATTTCATCACTGGATTCCCCGGATTTATGATTCCCCGGCTTTATGAAAGATTCCCCGTTCGATTTTGATTAAATGTTCAGCTTCGAAAAAGGAGGTCATCGCCAGCCAAGGACAGGCTCTGATTAAAACCCAATGGGGCCCTAAACCAGAGAAATATCATGAGGCCCCCCCACCCCCACGTATGGTGTATAAGGGCCACGTGACTCTCCCTTCTAGACAAACCCTCATGGACACATAGGTTCACTCTGGCTGTTGAATACTCACGGACTTTCGTGGTCAGAGCTCACGAAAGGTCTCCCGTCTGACCGTTGGGCACAACGCCATAGAGAGCAATTTGAAGAGGTGGAAATGAAGCATTGATATGTGCTTCTGTGCGTCTCATGTGGAGCTGGCTTATGAACCACACGGGACAACTGGTGAAATGGGTAACTACAGCCCAAGCACAAATTGTTCCTTCACACCACCTGCATCCCGGCGAAACAAGCTGGAGCATTATTCCATCCTACCCTGCGGTTATATTTGGGCATATAATGATTCGCCCCCCACATCTATTCGATGAATGGTCATGTTTCAGGGTCACGATTCGATTCAGAAATATATAGATTTTTTTTGCATTATTGAGGAGCGTGCAGAATCTATAATGGCTGCAGGAGTCATGTGAACTCATCACAACATACACAAATCGAAGATAAAATCGATCACAATTTGCCACAAGCATTGCGAGCATAAAAAGTTTCATTATATATCACGAGCTGACGCATCATCGCATGCCGAGGTTATAACGCCGCATCGATTGCCTTGCGAGCAGAATTACATGTAAGTGTTGCAGCTCCTCGCAAGCTCGACAGGGGTCAACCCGTCGCGATTCCTCAGCGTGAGCAGCCCCATGCCTCCGGCCTGCAGAAGTGGCCAGCACAGGGCGCTATGGCCCTTCAGCGTCGCCAAGTGCAGGGCCGTGTTGCCGTCGGCGTCCCTCGTCCGGCAGTCGATGCGCTACGCAGGCGGACACGCGCAAGCACGAGCGGCAGTCAAGATCAACCGTTCTCAGCGTTCTCCGTTCGTCGAGTGCTAGCATCGGCCCACGCAGCACGGATCTCCAATGTTAAAAATAGCCCGGCAACTGGCTAGAACGGGATCATCCGTGTAACAAATTAAAATAAGCTCAAACTCAGCGGCAAGTGACATCAGAACCGGTCCTGGACTCCCCTCGGCAACTGCCTCCGACCAATGTGGTTCAGTGATGTAAAAAAAAACCCTCGTGACCATCACGGCGTTGCGAAGCGCCGTCATTTATTTGCTTTTCAGTGCTGGAAAATGACGATACGTTCAGCTCTTGATTATCCATGTGTGGATAATCCAGAATGTAAAAGTAACGGTGCTCATTCGTGCCTTTTTCGCACCCATCACCTCCACCTCCATGCCAACTACTGACCATAAAACCCTAATTTAATCAGTCAATACATTAATTAAACCCTCGTTTCTTTAGGAGCTAATCCTCACTCGTAGGTGGTAAGTGATAAAGCGCCCCACGAACGGCAAGTAAATTGATTACTTTAAGCAATAAAAAAAAACCTGGCGACACGTTATTTGTCTTCGCACCCATTATACGATAACCGATACAAATAATAACCCAAATTTACGTAAGTTTTGCATTATCCACTCCTTTTTTTGTTAATCTGGTGGGCGGTAGCACCTGATTCCCATTATCCTGGATAATCAACAGCTAACTACATTCACCAATTATGGAACCAGCGGACTCTTAATCAGCTGTACGCAATCTCCGATGTTGCGGTAGCACGAAACTAAATAATGCCTAAGCCGAGCGCTGCCGTCACGATTTCCAAGCTAACGGCGTCCGCGTTCCGTCCAGCTGTGGTCCGCGAAGGCCAAAAGACTTTTTGTTGCTAACAATCAGATTGCGTTCGGTCACTTGAAATATTATTTCACTGTACAATAGGCGTATTTTCCATGAAGCATGGCTTTGGCGGGTGCTTTCCATCGGAAGAATATTTGTGGCTCTATATTTACTCAAACTAGGCACAAACACAAAGCACGAGATTCAAATTTAAAGTCTTAAGTAGATGGGGAACATGGCCCTAAACTAGATCCTGGAACATGTGGAGCTGCTGACAAGAGTCGTTTGCTTGCAAGGATGATCCTGGCAGCAAATTTCCATGGCAAACTGCAACATGAAGAGCTGGTTTTCTAAACCCCTATGGAGTTATTTTCCAGAAATAAATCTTGTTTTTCTTTCATTTACTCAATCAATGTGTCACCTCCAATTGTCCATCTTCTATGCTGTGCATTCTGCTTCATTCCTCTCTCGTTAATTTATTTTCTGCACTTTTTTTATTGTTTGGTAACAGTGAAACCTTGGATTGCGAGTATAATTCGTTCTGGAAACGTGCTCGTAATCCAAAGCACTCGTATATCAAAGCGAATTTCCCCATAAGAAATAATGGTAACTCAAGATGATTCGTTCCACAATCCAAGAATACTGTATTGATATAAAAATTATTAATACAAAATTAAAAAATATATTTTTATTATTTAAATTTAATATAAAGTAATCAAATTGATTAATTACATTTAATCGTGGCTGGTGTGAGGGAGACGAGAGAGAGGAGGAGGGTTATTGTGTAGGACGACTTTCACTTGCAGTACAGTTACTAAAGAACAGTCACTACACTTGGACACAAAATAAAAAAAATGTTTTACGCACACACACGTGGTCACAACACTATAGTACTGTAGTAAACAGTATACACGTGGTCACAACACTATAGTACTGTAGTAAACAGTATACACGTGGTCACAACACTATAGTACTATAGTAAACAGTATACACGTGGTCACAACACTATAGTACTGTAGTAAACAGTATACACGTGGTCACAACACTATAGTACTGTAGTAAACAGTATACACGTGGTCACAACACTATAGTACTATAGTAAACAGTATACGCTCGCACGGATGTTGACTATACAAGTGAGGCACGCCGACTGAGACCGAGCATGGGAGATGATTACCCACAATCCCGCAGCCAGAGAGAGAGAGAGAAGAACCATTGGCTCAGTTGTGATCACGTGATGCTCGGCAGACAAAGCGTTATGCTGTGCACGTACTGCTCGTATTGCAAGACATCGCTCGTTTATCAAATAATTAATAATTTAAAAAATTTGCTCGTCTTGCAAAACACTCGCAGACCAAGTTACTCGCAATCCAAGGTTTCACTGTATTTGTAATCTGTTTTCTGTACCATTTATTTATTTTCATCCAGGTATCCCTTGAAATAGAAACGTGTATCCGAATTGGTTTCTCTCCTGGTTTTCAAGATAATGTATCTACAACACTGTATCCATACATAGCACACGCAAAAAATATGCCCTGACACAAGTGCTGTTTGTGAGCACCTATTAAGGGTGGGGATGGTGTGGCCAGAACCGTGCCTGGCCACCTTCATCTCCTCAGTGCTGATCCATGCCACACCACACCAGATGCTCATTTAAGGGGAGACTCCAGGCTAGTTCAGATATAATTTGCCACTGATGTTAGCCATGGCTGGAGACAATCAAGCTGTCGGGTTCATAGCACATCGCTCTTAACCACTAAACCTCCACTATCTCCCCCAACATAAAACAACAAACACACACACGTTTTACATGTGATACAATTTCTCCTCCCAGCATTTCAGCCAAAGAGAGTAAATCATTTGGATGGCACTGGACAAACATTTTTTTAAATGTGTATGGGGAGGCAACACCACTCCCAAACCGTAAACTCAATCTCATCACCTCCCGTGACACCGTGGTAAGGTGACCGCCACCTGTCCTGGCTTTCCTGCAAAGTCCTCTTTTTTTATTGTCCTGGGAAACACGTACATCTTCCCGGGACATCAGAAGTCTTCGGTGCTTATCAGTTGCGGAGTAATACGTCGCCCAAGACACTGCATTGACATGTAGTGCTCCCCGTCTTCTGGTACTGTGAGATATTCTGTTCTTCAAATCTTTACTTAAAGCTTTCGTGACTGCAGGAATTCATACTCTTTGGGTCTTTCGGTAAAGCCACGTATTATGCTGTATTTTTTTTCACCTGATGACGATTGCTTGTGTTGTGATCGAAACGTCGTGATATTTTTTTTATTATTTTTCTATCTACTTGGCTTTTACCGAAAGACCCAAAGAGTATTCTGTTCTCGATACATATCCCGATTTTTACGCCTCAAGCCTACACCACGCTCAACACGCTCCAAGAGCTCTCACTTACTTTCTTTGCCAAGAGGAAGCAAACAACATCCAAGTTTCCCATCCCAGCTGCGATGTGCAAAGGATTCTGGGAATATGTGTCGGTTGACAGGAAATGGAATTTGCCAGTTTCCTCGAGGTACTTTATGGCCAACCTGTTGAGAGAGAAGTGTTTTTTTTAGCACCAAGCACACAGTTAATAGGTAAAGGTACAGGCCGGCAATTTGCTTGCTCATGACACTGCTGGCAGAAGGGCCTCAAACTACAGTGTTAGAAAGCCCCTCTAGAGAGCTAGTCTTTAGGCATTAAGCACACGGCGAATAGTAATTTTTAATCCCATGGGCCAGAAAGGATGTCTATTTCGGATCTCCCTTGAATTGATCTCAACAGACGCTAATCTGGATATATTGCTAAGGACAGGTACAAAGTGTAAACACGTTTCCGTCTGCTTGTGTCTTAGCTGGATAGGAGTGCAGACTGTGTTGGCATTAACGAGGGCCGACAATTTTAGTGGCCACACTGGTACACTTAAAATATGCATGCTCTGCGAGAGTTACGAAATTAATTATTAACTTCACGGCAAAGTACGTACATGTACAGCCCTTTGTCAACCCACTGCTGGATAAGGGCTTCGCCATGCCATGTGAGTAGTTGTGGTTATTTGACCTGCTTCATCACGCTGCTCCACGCGGCTTAGTGAAGGGGCAGCATTGAAGCACAGTACAAATGCAGACCATACTCCATTTCCCGTCTACTGCCCACAAAGTAGCGCAGCACCGCAGCCGCCCACGACGGCCTGGGATGCATGGTGGTCAACCATCTGAGCACTCGTATATTTGGGTGCAAAGCTGCTTAAGGTCCCAGCATCTGGGGAGCTTGGGTAAATTCCAGGTGATGTATACATGAAACACAACTGTGAAAATGACAAACAAATGTAAAGATCCCGAGGGTATGAATTTGTCAGCATGCAACATCAAGTGGCCATGGATAGTGCCAGGTCTCTCACACGCTGCCTCCAACGGTGGCGTGGTGCAGGCCCGAGCGGCCGTACTTGTCCAACAACGTGACGTCGGCGCCACTCTGCACAAGGCGGTGGATGATCGTGACGTTCCCCCTCCTGCGGAACAGCATCGCACGATGATAGCAGAGGCAGCAGCAGCAGCAGCCGATAGCTGTTTGTACCGCACCTGTCAGTGAGCCTCATGCATTTGTGTTCATCATCATCAACATCAGCCTAATAGCGAGAGTGGCATCCCATGGAGGAAAACCGTCAGAGAGAATGTCAACCACGGAGATGAGAGCGATGAAACTAGGTCGTCTCAAGGTGCTAGGTGGATGGTTACATCGCAGGCTTGAGGAGGTCTTCATCCATCCGCTGATAGATCATGGCTGAAGACAGAATAGTCTATTACATTTCTAAATGTAAACCCAGTGACTGGCATCTTGCATCCCAAGAGTTTGAACTGGAGATGTTTTGTTTTCAATCATAACCACCTTTATCCCTACAGGAGTTGCTCATGTTTCCATTTTTGTTTGAGAATTAATTGGGAGACTGCCTCAAGTATTCTCATTTGTAGGGCTGCGATGAAGCAGACGGATTGAGCGGTGGCTTGAGCATCTCAACCACAAGCCATCATCCCTTCGAGCGACGTCTCCTGACCCAAGCCCACTTACATTTATGAACAGTCAATCTGATGTCTCTAAACTGCGTTGTGTTTTGTAAATCGGGCCAAGAAGCTACCTGCAGATTCTGCAGTCATAACAGGGTATTGGCGAAATATGAGTGTGTCAAAGGGTGAACCAAAATCAGGCGGGTGCGATAGATGATAAGAGCTATGTGTGGTGGTCAGGTGTCGACTTAACAACTCCAGCATCCAATGTAAGGGTGGGTGATGGTGAGGTGTATTCGTTTCAACTGGATTGGCCACGATGGCCTCTTGACCCGGGAATATGCGTACATGCAAATACAAGTAGGCGGAAAGGAGGTTTAACTAGTTTTAATTAAATTATTAAACTATTAACAGATTATCTTGGCTATTGAACATAACCACTCATGTTTACAGAGCTTAAGAAGTGTGCCATTAGCACTGCCGTAAAAGGGAAAGGAGGCGGTGCAGTGGTCAGTACGTCACAATATGAACTCCGTAACCCGAGTTAAATTCCGCTACCAGATTTTCTGGGGAGTGATATCGAAACAGATACTCGGACTCCCCTTCACGACCCAGCACCGATCAGTGAATCAACCCCCGATGACCAACACGGCATAAAGAGGCCACCATGAAGCCGTCGATTGATAAAGGGTTGAAAATTACTATTATAGCAGGCGCAACATAAGACAAACTAAAAGGGCCAACGTTAACATATATAAAAACATCATATTCTCCATTTTTTCATCCACATGGCAGAATGAATGAAAAAAATGGCGATTTTTTTTGTGTGCCAATTAAATGTTTGTTTACAAACAAAATTCACAATGAACACAGATGTTGAATGTTGTCCTTTTTGGGATATAAGTTAACGTTTTCTGAGTTGATCAAAGTTCTGCAGTTTGTCCACTCATGACAGTCATAAAATTGCTCGATTGGCAAACACACAGTAACATCGCCCTCTACTGGCAATCGTGACAGGACCCTCCTGAAATAGTCTTGAGACTCGGTGAGGCTTTCTTGGGTAAATGTTAATGGCGGGGGCGGTGCGACGACATAAGCTCGTTTTCCCCACCTGCAGGCAAAGTGGAAGGGCGTCTCTCCCGCGTCGTTGCATAAGTTGGGGTCAGCCTCGTGCTGCAGAAGTGCGGCCGCGATGTTTACGCTGCCACGAAAACACGCGTGGTGCAGGGCTCCCAGTCCGCTCCATCCTGCCGATTCATGGGAAACCAAAGGCAAAGACACACCCCCCCCGCCCCGTATTGTATTAATAGACCGTTGGTGCAAGTTCTGTCAGCGAGCACCTTTGAAGGCCGACACGGCACACGAGAGGGTGGGTGGGCCAGCACCGCGCCTGGCCGCTTTTGTCGTCCCTTAGTCGACCGAAGGGAGGCCCATGACCAGTTCAGATAATCGTCACTGGTGTTGCCGTGAGCGGGGATCGAACTCGGGTCGCCGGGTTCGTAGCGCAGTGTGCTAACCGCTGCAAAAACAGGGACACACACACAGATCCCTGGCGAGGCTTAGAAAATGGGATTCCATTGAGAATAATGGGAAGAAAGTTAACTTATTCAACATGGAATTGCCCTCTTTTTAGTCACAAAAATGTTGTACAATTAACCTGTTTCCCTAAATGCAATTTTGTGTCCTCTTTTCACAAACCCACCGATGCCATCGTGCCCTGATTTGCATGGGCAGCAGAGTTCAGTGCAGTAAAATACACTATTGTACTGCACTTTTATGCTTCCACGTCTGTGTCCTCCAGTGGAGGGCCCCTCCACCTTCCCCAACCTGCACTGGCAAGCGTGGTTTAGGTATGATCGAATAACCCCCATGGTCCACACGACACGAAAAATGGGCCGTACATTTGCACTGCTGGTCATGACATTCGACAGTTGTACTCAGCAACTGGAGCGCAGGTGATTGTTGCTTCAGCAGCCAAGGTGTCAATACAAAGGTGTTTTCACATGTGGTATTGACAACGGAACAGTTTTCCACAATACTGCACTCAAGTGCAAAGGATGTAGTCAATACAGTACAGTATATTCATGTTACATATACCACCTATTTACTTGTGAGTAGCCATTTAACAATCACGTAGCACATTAATAACGTGTTTGCCATTCATGGTTTAATGAGCATGCCTACTACATTAATGTATTAAGCATAAGGCCATGCAAACAGATGAAAGAAATTGTATTTAGAAGCAGCTGCAGGAATAAAGGAGTTCAACCCAGCACCATTGATTGGTGAACCAAAGGTTAATCCGCAGGTTGAATGTGGTGGGGTAAAGCGTGGGAACTCCCACCTCTTCCGAAATTCATGGCTTGCGTGGAATAGTAGGACAAAATGCACTCATGAGGGGCTCTTTAGAGCTCCCTCTCGTGCATGCCCTTCCACCACCAGTGGGGTGTGTAAGACATTGCGAGGTGTGTAAGACATTGCAGGCTGTATCTTTACCTTCATATCATATCCATGAAATGTCAACATTTAAATCTTACACATTTTTCACCCCCAAATTACCAGCGGGTTTTTTCCCCTTTATTTTCCAGAAATAATATTCTCTGTCAACTCCAACAGTGAATCAGATGCATGGGGAATTAATTGAGATATTTATCAAGGATTGGCGCCGTGAAATATTTCATTGATAATTTATTGTTTAAATCTCGGCCAACGGTCATACATGGATCGTACATAGCTCTTCACCAATGGTAAAGGTGTCTGGTTCCTGTCAGAGACACTGGGCCCTTACTTGAATGTATAATGAAAATTGCTCACGCCGCTGTAAATGACACGGACGGATAAAGGACACTTCTTACAGTGAGGGAAAAAAGTATTTGATCCCCTGCTGATTTTGTACGTTTTCCCACTGACAAAGAAATTATCAGACTTGACTCGAAGCTTTCGTGACTGCAGGAATTACTCTTTGTTTTTTTCGGTAAAGTCACGTATAAATAATAAAATAACATTACAGCGTACGACGTTTCGGTTGCAACACAAGCAGCCATCATCAGGTACAGAAGAGCTAAATTTACGAGAGAGAGGAAACACAACCCCAGATGTATATACAGACACCCAAGTAGGGGGGAACTAACACAGATACAACAGGGGACACAGAGAGATAAGCATACCAAACAAACAGGGTTTAGCAAAATTTGGAAACCATATAAAGCAACACAGACGGTCGGTCAAAACACAACGCATAGACTGGTTGATTACGCTATTTCAAAGATTGCTAAATTGCAAGTTAAGTATGAAATTTAAAATACAGACCGCGCACACACACATAGACATCCAAGTAGAGCGAACCAGCACAGACACGCACACAGTGAAGTCGCCTTAAATAGGCAGAGAAGGTAAGGCTGAGAGACAATGGAACAATTTAGCATGAGGTATGCATGGAGCAAAGGGGGCGCAGCAGCACACACTCGGAAGCAACAAGGCCCACACACAGGCAGAGACAGCACAGAGACACAAATCCAAGCCAAGACACAAAGGCAGATACACAAGCAGAGACAACACAAAGACACAGACCTCATACCTCCCCGTAGAGGTGGTTCAGACTTGATTCGAAGCTTTCGTGACTGCAGGAATTACTCTTTGGTTTTTTCGGTAAACGTGGTTCGCTCTACTTGGATGTCTATGTGTGTGTGCGCAGTCTGTATTTTAAATTTCATACTTAACTTGCAATTTAGCAATCTTTGAAATAGCGTAATCAACCAGACTATGCGTTAATTGTGTTTTGACCGACCGTCTGTGTTGCTTTATATGGTTTCCAAATTTTGCTAAACCCTGTTTGTTTGGTATGCTTCTCTGTGTCCCCTGTTGTATCTGTGTTAGACCCCCCTACGTGGGTGTCTGTATATACATCTGGGGTTATGTGTTTCCTCTCTCTCTTAAATTTATCTCTTCTGTACCTGATGATGGCTGCTTGTGTTGCAACCGAAACATCATACGCTATGATGTTATTTTATTATTTCTTATTTATACGTGACTTTACCGAAAAAAACAAAGAGTAAAGAAATTATCAGTCTATAAGTTTAATGGTAGGTTTATTTGAACAGTGAGAGACAGAATAACAACAACAAATCCAGAAAAACGCATGTCAAAAATGTAATAAATTGATTTGCATTTTAATGAGGGAAATAAGTATTTGACCCCTCTGCAAAACATGACTTAGTACTTGGTGGCAAAACCCTTGTTGGCAATCACAGAGGTCAGACGTTTCTTGTAGTTGGCCACCAGGTTTGCACACATCTCAGGAGGGATTTTGTCCCACTCCTCTTTGCAGATCTTCTCCAAGTCATTAAGGTTTCGAGGCTGACGTTTGGAAACTCGAACCTTCAGCTCCCTCCACAGATTTTCTATGGGATTAAGGTCTGGAAACTGGCTAGGCCACTCCAGGACCTTAATGTGCTTCTTCTTGAGCCACTCCTTTGTTGCCTTGGCCGTGTGTTTTGGGTCATTGTCATGCTGGAATACCCATCCACGACCCATTTTTAATGCCCTGGCTGAGGGAAGGAGGTTCTCACCCAAGATTTGACGGTACATGGCCCTGTCCATCGTCCCTTTGATGCGGTGAAGTTGTCCTGTCGCCTTAGCAGAAAAACACCCTCAAAGCATGTTTCCGCCTCCATGTTTGAAATCCTGCAGCGCCTTGCGGGCGCTGCAGGATTTCAGTCTTTCCCGGCGTAGTGTGTTACCAATTGTTTTCTTAGTGACTATGGCCCCAGCTGCCTTGAGATCATTGACAAGATCCTCCCGTGTAGTTCTGGGCTGATTCCTCACTGTTCTCAGCGAGGGAGATCGACAGTTCTTTTGTGTTTCTTCAATTTGCGAATAATCGCACCAACTGTTGTCACCTTCTCACCAAGCTGCTTGGCAATGGTCTTGTAGCCCATTCCAGGCTTGTGTAGGTCTACAATCTTGTCCCTGACATCCTTGGAGAGCTCTTTGGTCTTGGCCATGGTGGAGAGTTTGGAATCTGATTGATTGCTTCTGTGGACTGGTGTCTTTTATACAGGTAATAAGCTGAGATTAGGAGCACTTCCTTTAAGAGTGTGCTCCTAATCTCAGCTCGTTACCTGTATAAAAGACACCTGGGAGCCAGAAATCTTTCTGATTGAGAGGGGGTCACATACTTATTTCCCTCATTAAAAGGCAAATAAATGGTTTACATTTTTGACATGCGTTTTTCTGGATTTTTTTGTTGCTATTCTGTCTCTCACTGTTCAAATAAAGCTACCATTAAAATTATAGACTGATCATTTCTTTGTCAGTGGGCAAACGTACAAAATCAGCAGGGGATCAAATACTTTTTTTTCCATCACTGTACATTCAAAATTGCCTATGTTCAAATCACACGGAACATGCTCAATCTCAGAAGTTAAAGGGGGATGGGCATGGGCATCCTTTCGATGGGCCATCGCCATTCCTACAATTTTTCAAAGTGTGCAATTAACTGGAATCCACAGCCACTTGTCTGACCGGTTGCAACTGGTTGCCATTAATCATGTCTTCTGAAAAGACCCCCATAATGAAGGGGGGTTCTGCAAGCCTCCCTGTTTGTGAAAAATCTAAGTATCTCAAACCTACACTCTGTGATTAATATCTTTACCGGTGGTCTCTGGGAAGTGAATGAACTATTAAATCCACAACTCCAGCTTAATGTGTTAAAGTTAGTCCTCAATACTCAAAAAAAGAAAAAGTCTTGTTGCTCTCCAGCTCTCTCCAAACCTAGTTTGCCCTTCCTGCAAATTGTGTCCCTTGACTCACATCCCATTGAACAGTTCAATAACCTTTAGTATCTAGGCGTTATCTTGGACTCAAAACTGTCCTTCAAATCCCACATCAATCATATGAACAATAAGATCAAAGCCAAAATCAGTTGGCTCTACAGAAATAAACTTAGTAGTATCGCACCTCGGCTCCGTCATAATATAGCTAAAGCCACCAATTTCCCCATCTTTGACTATTGCCACATCTACCACCTTAGCCTTCAAAACCACTCTAATACATCTCGTTCTGTGATACCACTCGGCCCTCTGCTTTGCCCTTGATGCCCTCCTGTAGTAGGGCCCATCATTGCGACCTCGATGTCGCCTCCAATTTGTCCCTCCCTTGACATCCAAAGAAACCACCAGTTGGCCGTCTCCACCCTCATTTTAAACAAATCCACTAAATATCCAAAGGGTCTTCTCCCGTCTCCGCAACATTCCCCATCCGCAGCATCAGAAGCGCCTCCTTGTTCTTACTGAAAAAATACAAGCTGTTACGAGGTTTGGCGCCATGTCCTTCCACATTGCAGGCCCATGTTACTTGATGGAATGCCCTTGTTGCCTCTCTCAGCTGGGACTCGGCTCCCTCCCCTCCATCCACCATTTCAAATAACTCCTAGCTCAGAATGCAGTTTTTGCCCGCAACCTGCACCCAATTCGTTTGCTGTTACTTTTACGAATTCTAGCGATGGTTTTTATTCGCTTGATTGCGCCCGTTCCTCCTTGCGCACACCTCCTCTCCAACCATTCATGACCTCATCCTTGTTTTTGGTGAATTATTCGTTTATATTGTTAACAAAAAAGCATTATTTAAGCACTACTTTTACCTGCACCTCCAACGCGTTCTGTTCGGTTGTTGCCTGTTCCTCCGTAAGCATCACTGTGCTGTGCTGATGCACCACGGATCTCACCTTGCAAACTATAGCTGGGTAACTGGCTACACAGGAAATTATAAAATACGGATGCCTGAAACAGGTGTCATTGGCTGCCATGTGGCTGTCGTCGTGAGATGGCGATACTAGCAAAAATCCATTATTGTATTGTACGCTCTAAAACGTCTATGCTGCTCCCCTACACCAACTCGCACTGTACAACGTGAAGTCTTATCATTTACACACACACACAAATACCGGAATTAGAATGTAATTGATACTGGTGGAATCCGATGAGATAAAAAGCTCTTTTTCACAATATGTCCAGTCGGGACGGGTAAGAACGTTACAACAACAAACAGTACAAAAACCGTGATATAATACGTTATGGAGAGGCACTCATCCATTCAGCCGCCGTGTGTCGACGAAAAGTATGGTGCGGTATACATGCGCTGAAGGACACTTTGGTGGCTTTATGCACGCCTGGAATCCAGCACTCCGGATCCGAGGGTTGGTGGATTGCACAAAGGTGCGAATACACCCTGCCACCCCCCTTGTACGTCGAGACTGACATTTCCTACTGGATGGCTTGCTGGATTAGTTTCCATCTGTACGGGGATGAAGCAATTACCTCGCACGCACGCGTGGGGGGTTTTTTTCCCCCACATTTGGGCGCTTCCGTTTCCTTCCAAATGTGGTGATGGTGGTGGTGATGGTGGTGGGAACTGCGAGCAAAATGATAAATTCCACGTTTTCGAGATTAAATTTGCACGAATAACACGATATACGAAAGCGCGATTTTGTATTATATACAGCAACATTGCAGATAATCCCCGAACCGGCTATCTGTGGGGGAAAAAAAGAGCTTTACGGCTAATCGGATTCATCCAGTAAAGAAAAAAAACATTAATTTTGATAAATAAAACAGCACGGGTGTAGAGTTTTTTTTTCCTCCCACCCACGGCCACCAAACAACGCGAGACGCAGAGAGCGGCCGGGCTCCTGCCTCTGGATCCTCACCCCTCGCGTTCACTTGTCCGGGATCTTGGAGCAAGAGGTCCAGGCACGCTTGCAGGTCATCGCCTCGGATGGCCTCCTCCATGCCGGGCGGCACCACCACCTTCTGCTGCTGGGCCGCCACCCTCATCGCCGCCGCGGGGTTCGATTGCTCCACGGGATACAACATCGCTCGATTATCTCCTCGCCCGCTCCTCTCCTGCCTGCCTTCGCTTTATTCTTTTGACCAGCCGCACCGGCTAAATGACTTTCGTTTGTTGTTGGTGGTGGTGCTGCTGTGTGCTGTGTCTCTCTAATCGACGAGCGCAAGCAACGCGTCAATTGCCTACGCGGCTGTCAAGGCGCGTTGGGATGAGGATGAGGAGGATGATGAGGATGAGGCACGGGACGAGCGGAGAGGTGGCGACGACGGCACGGGCGTTTTGGCCATCGTCAGCGGCGGGACGTCTCCACGGCACGCAACGGAACACCCCCCCTGGGTTTAGACGATCGCACGCGTGTGTGTGGTGTGTGTAGTGTGGTGTGTGTGGTGTGTGTGTGGTGTGTGTTCCTCCTCCTTGTCACGGAATAAAATAAATTGAGCTGTACCAGAGCACGCACGCACGCACACAGCCGCCGATTACAATACAGATTTCCTGTTTAGTGATGTGGTATGTACAGTATGCATATAGCGATGCACCACTGCAGGTGTCCTTGTGCCCGTTTCTCGTATATTAATCGTCAGGCGACAACTGGACCGTCATTGCCATTGCAATACAACGAGAGACTAGAGACACGCACAGAGACGCATCGACTCACTCGCTCACACAGACACACAGACTCGCTCACACAGACACACAAACACACAGACTCGCACACACAAACACACAGACTCGCTCACACAAACACACAGACACACAGACTCGCTCACACAAACACACAGACTCGCTCACACAGAGACACACGGACGCACAAGGAGACCCACAGACTCGCACACGGAGACTCAGACTCGCACAGAGACCCACACAAACACACAGACTCACTCACACAGAGACCCACACAGACTCGCTCACACAGAGACCCACACAGACTCACTCACACAGAGTCCCACGGACGCACACAGAGACCCACGGACGCGCGCAGAGACCCACACAGACTCACTCACACAGAGACCCACGGACGCGCGCAGAGACCCACACAGACTCACTCACACAGAGACCCACGGACGCACACGGAGACCCACACAGACACAGATACCCACACAGACACAGAGACCCACACAGACTCACACAGAGACCCACGGACGCACACGGAGACCCACACAGTCTCACTCACACACAGAGACCCACACAGACACACGGAGACCCACACAAACACAGACTCACACAGAGACCCACGGACGCACACGAAGACCCCCCCCATAGACTGCATGCGGACAGCGCGCCCGTCTGCTGTGGCAGGGAGCGGGACACCATGCAGCAGGAGCTCTTCCGCTTGCGTTATTGGAAACGGAAAGAGCGTCACTGGCTGGTTTGCCTGCTGCTATTGTTGTTCCAGTGTTCTTTTGAATTTAACACGTTAACCTAAGTTGTATTTTAGTTTGGACACGTAGTGGTGGTGTTAGCGAGAGAGGAGGGAGGTGATGTTGATGAACCACGTGCGTGCGTGAGTGTGCAATGTTCCCAATCCGTGCATCGCTGCGGAGTTCGCGTGTTTACGGCTCGGGTCAGGATGATGGAGTTCCTTTTTGCGGGCTCTTGAGACGGGGTTTTGCCACAGGAGGGGTCATCGGCAAACCCAAAAACAAGAAGTGCCGTTTTTTTGCGAACTTGGTAAAATTAAAAAAACCCTCAATATTTCAAGATCCGCGATGCACGTCGTGGTCAATACGAGAGGATCGGCCCCTTAATAAATAACGCGTCGCGAAGCAGTCCTTAAAAGAGCCGCAGGTTGCTGACTCGTGCCAATGGTAAACTAGACTTAAATGGTGAATTGGACGACCATGGTGAACTGGACTCCTCTGGTCAAGGGGTTGGTCAAACAACATAACAATAAGAGCCATTAAAAAAATTAGGTGAACAACAACAAAAAACGCCCTCAATATTTAAAGAGCCGTATCGCAGTTATTTCCAGAGCCGCATGTGGCTCAAAACCCATGATATATTGGTCACTTAGCCCTGTGCCGGATGAAGATAGTGCGGGGCTTGTAGCTTATGTTATGAAGGGGCCCTAAATAAAATAAAAAACACGTAAATATTACAACACATTTTTTTGTTTACTTACACAGCAAAGTAATTGCATGTTTTCATTCGCTATACAGCCAGATAATACGACAAATGAAGCAATTGGCGGGACCCCGGGGTCCCATCACTGCCCCGGGGTGGGAAAACCCGTGGAGCGACACGAGTCTTGTTGACTTACCGACAACAACAAAACTAGTGGTCAATAGATTGGCCTCGTCGAGAGCTACTCGGGGACACTTAAGTTTCGTAAAAAGTTGAAAAACTACGTAAACACGTTAAATTCACCGCCTGGGGGTGGGGGGGCGGCGGGCTCGCCTTGGCAAAGAAGCTGAGGATCGACGGATGACCGGAGGGCGTCGTCGCCGCGCGCGACTGCGGCGGAGGCCCCCCCGGGGCTCGCGTTTGCCCGGTGGGGTGGCGCCCATCGTGTTGATCGCCGCCTGCTGGTGCTTGTTGGTGCGAGTCTGGATGGGCGGCGCGTTGCTGTCGGGATCACGAGTGGGGGGGGGGGACTGAAAAATAATAATTATTGACCTGACTTTTGCGGGACCCCGGGGTCTCTCCAAATGTTTCAAATCGCTAACCTTAAACACCGAGTCGTTCATAATAGTTGAAGGCAGTATAGTACTATAGTAATAGAGCAAGTGCAGAATCACGTGACCGGAATTGATAGCTTGAAAGCGTTTAGCGAGGGACCCTTGAAAGTGCGGGGCCCGTAGCATCTTCGACTTGTGCTTCTGCGATAATCCGGCACTTACTCAGCCTAGGCCCTATCCAAACGAAGCCATATCGAGTGCAGCTAACGTCCACATACAGAGGGAAAAAAGTATTTGATCCCCTGCTGTTTTTGTACGTTTGCCCACTGACAAAGCAATGAGAAGTCTATAATTTGAATGGTAGGTTTATTTGAACAGTGAGAGACAGAATAACAACAAGAAAATCCAGAAAAACGCATGTCAAAAATTGTATACATTGATTTGCATTTTAATGAGGGAAATAAATATTTGACCCCCTTTCAATCAGAAAGATTGCTGGCTCCCAGCAAGAAAGATTGCTGGCTCCCAGCAATCTTTCTTGATTGATTGCGTCTGTCCACAGAAGCAATCAATCAATCAGATTCCAAACTCTCCACCATGGCCAAGACCAAAGAGCCCTCCAAGGATGTCAGGGACAAGATTGTAGACCTACACAAGGCTGGAATGGGCTACAAGACCATTACCAAAGTGACAACAGTTGGTGCGATTATTCGCAAATGGAAGAAAGACAAAACAACTGTCAATCTCCCTCGGCCTGGGGCTCCATGCAAGATCTCACCTCGTGGAGTTGCAATGATCATGAGAGCAGTGAGGAATCAGCCCAGAATAACACGGGAGGATCTTGTCAATGATCTCAAGGCAGCTGGGACCATAGTCACCAAGAAAACAATTGGTAACACACTACGCCATGAAGGACTGAAATCCTGCAGCGCCCGCAAGGTCCCTCTGCTCAAGAAAGCACATATACATGCCCGTGTGAAGTTTGCCAATGAACATCTGAATGATTCAGAGGACTCATCTTCTTTGGTTCTTTCGGTAAAGTCACGTAGAATGAGAATAAAATAATAAATTGATAAAATAAAATAACACAATAATATTCTCACGACGTTTCGGCCACAACACAAGCGGCCTTGTGGCCGAAACGTCGTGATAATTTTATTGTGTTATTTTATTTTATCAATTTATTATTTTATTCTCATTCTACGTGACTTTACCGAAAGAACCAAAGAAGATGAATCCTTGCAGTCACGAAAGCTTTAAATCGAGATTCAGAGGACAACTGGGTGAAAGTGTTGTGGTCAGATGAGACCAAAATGGAGCTCTTTGGCATCAACTCAACTCGCCGTGTTTGGAGGAGGAGGAACGCTGCCTATGACCCCAAGAACACCATCCCCACCGTCAAACATGGAGGTGGAAACATTATGCTTTGGGGGTGTTTTTCTGCTAAGGGGACAGGACAACTTCACCGCATCAAAGGGACGATGGACGGGGCGATGTACCGTCAAATCTTGGGTGAGAACCTCCCCTCAGCCAGGGCATTGAAAATGGGTCGTGGATGGGTATTCCAGCATGACAATGACCCAAAACACACGGCCAAGGCAACAAAGGAGTGGCTCAAGAAGAAGCACATTAAGGTCCTGGAGTGGCCTAGCCAGTCTCCAGACCTTAATCCCATAGAAAATCTGTGGAGGGAGCTGAAGGTTCGAGTTGCCAAACGTCAGCCTCGAAACCTTATTGACTTGGAGAAGATCTGCAAAGAGGAGTGGGACTAAATCCCTCCTGAGATGTGTGCAAACCTGGTGGCCAACTACAAGAAACGTCTGACCTCTGTGATTGCCAACAAGGGTTTTGCCACCAAGTACTAAGTCATGTTTTGCAGAGGGGTCAAATACTTATTTCCCTCATTAAAATGCAAATCAATTTATTACATTTTTGACATGCGTTTTTCTGGATTTGTTGTTGTTATTCTGTCTCTCTCTGTTCAAATAAACCTACCATTAAAATGATAGACTGATCATTTCTTTGTCAGTGGGCAAACGTACAAAATCAGCAGGGAATCAAATACGTTTTACCCTCACTGTACCTGTCAACCCCTTATCAGTGCCTACCTTATTACAGACCCATTCAGACCTTGTTGGTCACCCCGTGCCCCTTATAAATCTCAACGTTCACCCTACAAAGTTCCATCAAAAGGGAGAAACACAGACACGTAAGACAAAAACATTTTTTCTTGGCCCGTATCCAAACGGTTGTACGCCGTATGGACCTGAAAACTCAATTTCCCTGTTTAAGAACACGAGTAAACCGTATGGGTTGGCAACGTAATGTCACGAAGCCATTAATTCGTGCCACCCAAACACAACTTGAAATTTCTCCCGACTATCAAATCCGGACGGGTGGCAAACCGCAGCTTACCCCACCGCCTCCCGTCACAAGATAAGACGGAGGTGCTGTTTCCAGATTAAAACAGTTAAAGGAGAAGCCATGCAATTGCTTTGCTCACGACACTGCTGGCAGAAGGGTCTCCACAAGAGGGGGCTTTAAAGTGGGGTATTTGGCCTACTCTTCCACGCCAGGGAATTTAGACGTCTTGTTAGATGCCGCTGATCGACTGTGGTGTTGTACCCGTTAATAATCCTGGGTGAACTGATGGGAGGATGTAATAAATAAAACAGCTTGGCCCTGGATTGCAAAGTCGAATCCAGTGTGCTAACCGTGGCACGACAGCTGCAGCATCTCGCGCGATTTGAGACGGCGCTGAGCTGTAGGTAAAAAACAAACATTGTAGGCACACCGCTGCGTGGCATTTTCCATTTGTTTACGTTTTACCAGGTAAATCTGTCACGTCACGTACGCGCGTGAGGGTTGAACCCGCGTGTTAAATCACTACCATCATCATCCACTGGAAGGGACATACAGTCTTTGCAAATACATTTATTCAGGCAAATATTTCCAAGACAACCACAACGTTGGTTATTACCTGATGAATTCCTTTATGTATTCGCTATCATCATCATGATCCATTATCTACACACTGCTGGATGTAATCTTTATTGCTCAGGGCCAGGAGTTCTTACTCCAGCACAACATAAGGTGAAGATCATTGCAGTACGAAATATGAAAAACAC